GAGGTGAGGGAGGCACGGCGCGTGGTTTCGTCTCCATTCCTCTCCACGTGCGGGCACCGTGTGGGCACAGTAGGGCTTGGCAGCCTGGTGGCAGGGTCATCGGCCAGCCCTTGGCCAGCCCTTGGCCAGCCCTTGGCCAGCCCTTGGCCAGCCCTACGCCGCCGGGCCGGCACCACTTCCTGCAGGGCATGCCCTAATGCTCCATGTCCTACGCTAGTTACACAACCGCGCCGTTATCGTGGCTTTTCGAGGGAAGAACATCGGAAAATCCCAGAACCGCAGTGCCGCCATCTTCCTGCCAGAAAAAGTTTGACAAAAGTTAGAGAGGTCTTGACGAAGTGACCTCGCCGACCAGAAGACGCGGTGTAAAAAGCGATTCGCTGGCTCGTAAAGTTGCCAAAAGGCGGCGGTGTCGTTGTCCTAGGCGAGTTTCGGCCGGCCAGCGCGGGTAGCTAGGCTGGGCTATTCGCGGTGCCACGAGCAAAAAAAACACTTTAAAAACGCGTTGCTCAATTGAGGGGCTCGAGAAGGGTTCAGTACGCCCAGGAGGTCGTTGACTTCCTGCCGCACGTCAACTGCTAGGCAGTGCTAGGCAGTGTAGGCAGCGGACCTCGAAATAAACCAACCGGCCCGTCTCGAATCCGTCACCCAGTGGCGGCGACGACGCGGCGCGCACCCCTCATGTTGTTTTCGACACTTTCATAAGACCGAATTAATATTCCCTTATTTTTTTGTGATCCGCGCTCCGGTTTCCCTCCCCCCTCTTTCTCTCTTTTTTTTCGTTATCACCTCTGCGAGTAATCACATCAACACCCCGCCTAAAGATACCGCCGCGGTGGTGCAAGCGGTAGGGGCGGAGCGGAGCGCAGGCAGCTGGCTGGCTGTGCAGTGCTGTGCAGTGCTGTGCAGTGCTGCGCACTCGGCAGCACTCGGCACGGAAACCCAAACATGGGGTGACTCTTTCTCCCGCGCGTCGCACCGGGCCAAGCCAAGCCAAGCAGGGCCCTCTGCCCTCCAAGCGTCGCGGCGCCCCGCCTCGCCGTCGTCTCCGACGTCTCTCCGCCGTCTCTCCGCCGGCCGCTCCGCTCCGCCGAGCAACACGTTTCCACGTCGGTGACCCTCGGAAACACCAAACACAAACAAAAACGCCACAATAAAATACCGATGTGTTTTATTGTGTGGTGCGGCCGCGCGAGTTTCCTGAATTCAGTCGTTAAAAAGTGTCACTGGCGGGATCTTTGGCAATTGGCGCGGTGCGAAAGGCGCAGATAGGCAGCACGAAAGCCGGGCGAGTCGTAGGACCGTTGCTAGAAGGCGGTGAAACAAGCTGCCTTCGGACTCGACCGGCAGCGGTAGACCGTCCACCGCCTGCTTCGAGTCATTCATTTCGGATTCGAGAGACGCGGGCAAATTCAAGTCCGCGATGATGGTTGTCGTTGGCCGCGGCTTCGTGTCACTTCCGGTCTTCCGGTGCAGGCGCGGCAAGTTTGAATCGACGAGCCATGGGCGGGGCGCGGTGCACACATTCCAGCCTACCTCAACAGCCTCCACGCCCCGCCCCGCCCCGCCCCGCCCCGCCCCGCCTCGCCCGCCCCGCCCCGCCCCGCCCCGCCCCGCCCCGCCCCGCCCGCCCGGCCCCGGGCGCGGCTGGGCCCCTCCAGTGGGCCTCTTTTCGATGTGTGGTCGGCGCGGGGGCCGCGGAGGCCGGGCAGGCCGGGCAGGCCGGTCGGGTCAGGTACCGCCGTCTGACCGGAAAAGGGTCCGCGGCCGCCAGAGCGGCGATTTCCCGGGCGAATTTTCCCGAGTTTCTCTGCTAAATCGAAGGCCCTGCGCGCCCGAGGACCTGCCGCCGCCTGATTTCGAAGGATTGTGTTACTTCGTCGCTCTCTCTCGCACCCTTACGTGACGCCCCGTGAGAGTGAGAGAGACGGGCAGACGAAAACGGTCCTCAGAAATCGCTAAATCGCACCTGCTTCGGGACCGTTCGCAAACCACGTTCCCGAAGCTGGCCCCGCGGCCCCTTCTCAAACACGTAGTACACGATAAAGGTGAACACCAAGCAAACCGAAAGCAAAACGCGCGCACAATGGTCAGTGCTTCAGCCCGACAGATAGCGCTGCGATCATTCTGCTTCCCAGCAGATCCCCTGACGATCGAACAGGTCGCGTCGTCGCCCTGTCTCCGTGGCACACTGTGGCATGGTGCGCAGGGGCGCAAGAAAGACCGGGCGGCGGAAAATGAGAACCAACACTGTTCTTCTCCGTGTTTCTGAACGGTCCCCGTCGGTTGACAACTCAGCTCACGCCCTCCAGCACTGACCTGTCTTTTCGGAACAATTGCCGGAGCGGAAAGTTTGTCTTTTTTTGTGCGCAGTAGTGTATTCTGCTTTGCGTGCGCGGCAGTGTTTGTGCCAAGTGCTGACGGCGGCGGCGGCTAGGCGGGCTAGGCGGGGCGGCCGCGGCCGCCACGGAACCGCTCGCGGGGCCTAAGCGGCGCGGCGGGGCGCGGCGGGGCGGGGACAGGTTGGTTGGCCCGGATCGGGGCCGTGGGCCTCGACTGCTTCGACTGCCACGTTGACCCAGGTCCAAAACGGCGAGGCACACAGCGCGGTACCGCACTGCCATGCCGCTTGCACCAACGAGCCTCTGCAGAGGCGCTTTGCGCCGGGCGGCGAGTGCGGCGCCAGGTGGCAAGGTGTTGGACCCAGCAGACGACGCGCCGGTCCGCCGAACCGCCGCTCCAGTTTCCAGCAACAATCCAACGAGTGCGACGGCCCCGGAATACAACGCGACACACGCGACTCACAGTGGAAGAGTTTTGAAACAAACTGCTGCGCTGCCCCAAACACCCAAAGACTGCGAAACGCGAGCGCGGCCGGCGCAAGGGCCGGCGGGGCCGTTCCTAGAAAGAATGTCCAAGCTGGCAGGCCTGGCAGGCGTGGCACGCCACTGGCAGGCCTAGCCCAACTGGAAGAGCGTTAGCGCGGCCGCGAGGCCCGAGGCGTCGCGCCCAAATCAGCGCGGAGTAATCCAACCTCACCGAACGACGCCGTCACGCCGTTCATCTACAAGTCCAGCGGCGGCAGACTCATGCCGAGAGTCGGTCTCGTCGCTCTGTCTCTCTCGCACTCACCGGACATGCCGTAAGGGCGCGAGAGAGACAGAGCGACGAAAGGCTGCCGGCGAGGTTATCCCGAGTGCAGCGGCGTCTTGGGCGAGGGCATGGTGCGAGTGCATTAGGGACGAGCCCTCGGAAGGGGCGAGAGCACTCACTCACACACACGGGCCGCCTCCAGCCGACGCGGCCGACGCAGCAACGCACAGCCGGGCGCGGCTGGCGTGGCCGGGCGACTTGAGGGAGAGGGGTGGGGTAGGGTTGCGGCGTGCCGTGGTGCCGTGGTGCCGAGGCGCGACGAGGGGAGGACGGGGTCGTTGACTCTTTTCGGCAGGATGTTGGGTAGGGCGGCCGGGCTGGGCCGGGCCGGGCGGCCCTCGGTCCTGGGTCGGGTCAAGAACTGCATCGGGTGCAGCAGGCTGCAGCAGCGGCGCGTCGGCTGGCTTCGCCTGCTCCAGCGACGCCGCCGAGTCCGGAGTCCCAGCAGCCGCCTGATTGCGAGCGTCGCTCTGTCTCTCTCGTGCGGCGTCGCGCGGCGGTGCGCGAGGGACAGCTGCACCGTTGCCCGGCGTTTGCCCGGCGTCGCGGTGTCGGTGTCGCCCACTCGCTGGAAGACATGGCGGACGGGACGTGCGCGGCGGAAGTTTCCTGCGCGGACGCTGCAGTTTTCGCACGGCCAGCCGGTCGCCAGTATCGCCGTCTCTCTCGCACTCGTGGGGCGTATGGCCGTGGGGGTGCGAGAGAGACGGAATCAAACTGTGGTCGGCACGTCGTCGGCACCGAGACGCGAACAGGAGCACCGTCGTCGACCCGGCGAGGCGCGCCGAGGACTCTGAACGCGGTGAGCTTCCTAGATGAATAGTGTCGCTAATGGCCAAGAATTAGGACCTGCAAAAAATGAGGCCCTCCAACGAGGAGTGATTAAACCGTCGGTGCTGGGAGTGCTTCCGTTTCGAAGTTGACTCCGTCACGTCGCCGTAGGGACTGTGACACGGACAGAAGCGGACACGTATGTGCCTGAGGAATAAATCATCAGTGGCCCCCTAAGTGGCGCCGGTTAAGAGCCAGTGCTTAAGCGAGGCGATCAATGTTCCCAGCACTCGATGAGGTTGAGGTGCGTCAGCGAGGGGCGCGAGGGCGTCAGGGAAGTCCGCGTGTCCGTTTGTCCGCGTGCCCGGCCAGGCGTAGTGAAGGGCAAGGGCGCGCTGCGCTCCGGGGCGCCGAACCGTGGCGCTGGGGCGCTGTCTCTCTCGCACCGCTGCGCAACGCCCCGTGAGTGCGACGGAGACAGAGCGACGCATCGGCTCTTCGGAATCCGCCGGCAAGCTGCTGCTCCTCGGCGTCGCCGCGTAGAGCGTCGCGTAGAGCGTCGCGGCGCCGCGGGTTGCGTGGCGCGCCGCTTAAAATAATGTGCACGCGCGATGCAGCGATAAGGACGACACAGTCGCTTTGCTCGCTTTGCTTTATTTGTCGTGGAAAATATTGTGATTCTGCGCTGGCTTGGGTTCCGTTCCGTTCCGCCCCGACCTGCCCGTCTCTCGCTGCGGGTGCGAAAGAGAGAGGGCCGCCGCGGCGCCGCCGTGCGCTGCGGGTGCGACAGAGCGAGCGGCACCATCCATGGGCCGGCCGGCCGGGGGGCGGGGTGCGGGGGTGGCGGGGGGCTTGCCGGGGCCGGGGCCGCTCCACGCGCTCTTCGAGGCCCCGCTACCCCCACCACCGGCACTCGGGCCGCTCCGCCCCGCGACCGGGGTCGCGGCGAAACCGCGCGCCTCAGCCTCCACGTGCCGCTGCCAGGCGCGGGGTCTGAGGAAGGCGGCGGCGAGGCAGTGGCGGGCGAGAGGGGAGGCCGCTTCGGCTCCCTCCGTCGGCCTTCGGGCGCCTTCGGCTGCTAGCTCGTGTAGGAGGTAAACACTACAGTTCGCTTTGGATCGCGCGCGGGGCGGACGGTTTGTCTCCCGACCTGAGTGCTCGAGTCCCCTCTGTGACCGAAAAGTGTGTGAACCCTTAGGAAAAAGTGACAGTTTGGTTCGGTATCCTGCCCCTGGACGTGCAGTGCGAGTGGTGGTGGATAGTCGACCCCGCCGCGCCGTGCCGAGCCGCACCGATCCCCTCGACGAGTGCCGAGGAGTGTGGCTCAGGTCAGGACGCACGCAGACGCACGGTACCAGTCCTACCCTAACCCTCGACGGCCTGGATGTCTTCCCTGAGGATCGTCGCCAATGAAATGGACCACTGAGAACCCAGACGGTGAGTTGCTTTGCTGCTTTCTGCGATCCCAGCGCGCGGTGCGAGGCGCGGAGCCACCCCCACGGCCGTGCGGGCGTGCGGCCTACCCCCGCGGGGGCGTGGGGCACGGCCTGGCCCCGGACAGGCCAGGGCACAGGGGCGGCTCGACGCCGAGGTGCGAGGCGCGCGAGGCCGCCGTTCAACCCTTGCACGCGTCCGTCAAGTTCTCGGCGTTCTTGGCGCTGCTTAACGTTCGTTACGGTAGGTCGTGCGGCGGCCGAGGCGCGGCCGTGTCCAAGCCCGCCGCCGACCCGGACTTGATCGCGTCCTCGCGGATCCGAGCCAGATCCAACCTGGCTGCGCGGCTGTGCATGAAAAACCGCGACCTCACTCAACCTTATCATATCTGGCGGCTGGTCGCGCCGGACGGAGGCGGACGGGACTAAGTCTCGGCTTTATCTCCACGCCCCTCGCTGCTTCGCTGCCTCGTTCCATGACCACGGCAGGGGCCTTGTTCAACTGCACCGCGGCGGACTTGGCGGGTTGAAATTGTTGGAGCCTGCCCCGGGTTTTTGGAGTGGCCGGGCGATGCGGCTCGGGGACCGGGGGCCGGTACGGGAGGCCGCAGCCTGGTAGGGGACCAGCTCCGGTGCCCCCTCCCTCCACGCCGCTCCTCCGCCTAAAGCCCTCGGTGGGTATGGCCCAGCCGAGCTTGGCCGTGCCCCTGGTTGCCCTGGCCGCGGCCGCCGCGACGCCGGGCCGGGACCACGCCGGGACGGGCCCGCTCCTTTGGGGACGGCCCCCAGCCACAGGCAGGGCAGGACGGCCTGGGCCAGGCCGCGGCCAGCCCGCCAGCACCGCCAGCACCGCCCAGGCTCATGGCAGGGTTAACGACACCGGCCTCTGCACCGGCTGCTACTTTTTGGGGGCCCGGCCCTCCGCTCCCCCCGCCCCCACCTCCACCCGCTCCCAAGGAAAATCGGTCCGGGCTGTTGCAAATGAATGGAAATGTCGCGAGTAGGTCCGAAGGGCTGCGACGCCGCTGCCTGGCCGAGCCTTGCCGAGCCGAGACGCCGTGTGCGAAGGCCCGAAGGCCCGAAGGGCGCCGCGCCCTTGGGAGCCCCCGAAGCCTCAAGGGCTGCAATTGAGCTGAAATTGATCACCAAGGGTACCTCGGACACTGCACCCCCACCCCCGCCCCTTGGTCGATAGTTGCAATATGCGAGAAATCGGCAACATTTTTGGCGAGCAGGGTAGGGCCTGGCGGGGCGGGGCGGGGCCGCGGGGTAGGGCAGAGCGAGAGAAGGGCGAACGCAGAGGGCAATGGCGTTTTCGGCGGCCGCAGTGGCCCGGCAGGCCCGGCCCGGCCGGACGAGCGAGAGAGACGGGCAACGCGTTCCCGCGCCCCTGACGCCAGGAGCGAGAGAGACGCGGCGAGCGACGGGCGGAGAGGGGACGGGCGCGGGCTGAGGCGCGGGGCGGCGAGAGGGGGCGCGCGGGGCGGTGAGCGGGGCGAGCGGGGTCGCCGGTGATGTCATTTCGGCGTCCCCACTATACTCCTCCTTGATGGAGGTCGGTGATCGGCTCGCTGCTCCACGTGGCGGCAAAGCGCGGTGGTTTCTCCCGCGCCGCGGCCTCGGCGGAGGGGGAAACCGCGCGCCTCAGCCGCTCCACGCGCCGAAGTCTCTCTCTCCGTCGCACCGCTCGCTCCGTCTCTGTCTAGTGTCGCTGCCACCGCTGCCGCTCGGCACTGCCTGTGCCCGTGGAGCCCGTGGCAGCCTGGCTTGCCCGCCTTATCCGCGCCTCGCGTCTCTTCTAGCGTCGCGTCGCGTCAGCGTCGCCAAGGGTGGAAACGTGGAGCCGGGGGTAGCGCCTCGCAAGCCTCGCAAGTCGCCCACTTTTTCCAAAGCCGCGACAAGGGTGCGGGTGGATCAAGATCTCGCGCTCGGCCGCGGCGGATCGCTTCTGTTCGCAACCGGGTGCTTGGGGACGACGGCAAAAAGGACAAAAAGGCGACCGCAGTGACCTTTGGCAAGCCGGCCGGCCATTGGCCAGAAGGCGGTCGGTTGAGGTACCGGGCTCGGCCGGGCCGGGTGTCTAGCAGTGTCTAGGTCTAGAGAGGAGGCGACACGACCGCCGCCACGCAGTACAGGCCCGGCAGGCCCTGCCGCAGGCCGGCTCCACGTGCCGCCCTGGAAGGTCCGCGGGGGGCGTGGCGCGGCGGGGGAGGGGAGGGGAGCCGGCGCGGCTGCACCGTCGGAGGGGAAGGCAGAGAGAGCGGCTGCGCGGCTGCATAGGCTTGAACAGAACAGTCGAACGTCGTCGCGCCCTGGTCTACGCGCGCTACGAGGCACGGATCGGCGCGGCCAGGCCGGGCCAGCGCGACGCGGTCGCCACTCCGCTCCCCTCTCGCCACGGTTCCTCGCGCATGCGTCCCTCCCCCTCCCCTCCGGTCCTGGAGATGAGACTACCCCCACCACCGCCGCCACCCCTCCCGTTTATTTACGTGCCCGAAAAAATGCAGCAGCAGCAGCAGGACACGTGCTAGGCCGGCTAGGCGTCCGCGGCGAGAGGGGAGGTAGGGGAGGGCGAGGTAAATACCACAACAATAGTTGGCCGCGCTCAGTTGAATGAGGACCTTCGCGGCGTGAGGACGCGGTGCCGCATCGCCATGGGCTCGCGTAGTGCAGTGGAGTGCAGTGCATAGTGCAACGAGTGCAACAGCCGTTTTTGGATTACCCTCGCCATGGCGGAGATCTGGCAGCGCACGCAGAAGGAGTGGATTAAGACGCTGTGGAAGGCGTACAAGCCCCCCGGGGGCGGTGCAGGAGGACCCCCTGCGCCCGGCGGACCCGGTGGACCCAACGGTGAGGGCGTACACGGGGTGGCCGGTGCGGCCTGGGCGCGCTTCCGCGCGGCCGCGACTTCCCCGACGCCGTGGCCGTGGCCCCGGCCGGCCGGCCCACAGTGGGCCAGAAGACCGACGGAGGCGGCCAAAATCCTAGACTCGTTTTGAGCTCCAGAGTCGCTAAACAGGACTCGAACCGAACGTGTGACCCCACCAATGGATTCCTCGCTCGGAGAGCAATGCATTGGTGGCGTCACACGTTCGGTTCGAGTCCCATTTAGCGACTCTGGAGCTCGAAACGCGTCTAGAGTTTTGGCCGCCTCCACCGGCCTTCTGGCCCACTGTGCGGCCGGCGCTGTGACTTCCCTGCCGCCCGCTCGGCTCGCTCTCGCACCGCCGGCCGGCCGGCGTCGGCGTCCTCGGGGACCGCGAGCAGACGACGCGCACGGCGACGCGACCCGCGAGGCGGCCGATGTAGACCCAGTCTCACCAGTGCAAATTGGGAACCGTGTTGTGGAGCAAATTTCTTGTGTCGTTCCTCGTGAACGGTTAGTCGTAACATCTTTATCACGTTACACGCAGTTTGAGATTCAAGTTTTAAACTAATTCGGTAGTTAGTTTAATTCGTTTTTAATTGCGTTAGTGTAGGCGCGCTTGCTGTAGGTCACCGGGATGAGCCCCGACTGGTGGTTAGTTCCGCCCCCCGAACGGTAGCTATGGTGACGCCGCCGCGGACACCGCGCCAGTGTTGGCGGCGTGGGGACGGGATGGGGGCGGGCCGGAACGCCGTCCCGGATATTCCTCAAAAGTGCGTCTCCATTTGGGAAATTCGGGAGCAGTGCGTTTCGGTGTGGCCCACGGACTTTTTAGAAAATTAAAAAGTGTTTTTTGCAGTGTGTTTTGTCCCGTGTGTCCATGCATGCTAAGGGTGGTCTCTCGTTCCTGTTGCAGAGGCCCTGTGGAGTCGCGTGTCTGACATGGTCGGCTACTTCAACTCTGACTTGGCCGGCAGCGCCCTAGCGGTGGGCCTCGACGGCCGGCCCCGTGACCTGGTGCCCGTCGGCGCCGACTGCACCCTCAGCCCCCTGCGGCCCACGTCTGCGGCCGCGGAGCCCGGCCCCGGCAGCTCCGAGGACCCGTCCGTGAGACGCGTCGTCTGCTCCCCCGACCTGCCCGTCTTCTCGCTGACGCCCACCGCCGCCGTCGCGACGCCGGCCCCCGCGGGCGGCACCAGCACCACCATGCCCGGCGTGTCGTCCACGGCGCCGCCGGCGCCCGAGCCGGCCGAGCTCGCCGCCGACTCGTCCACCTCGCCCCTGTCGTACGCCTGCAACATCTGCAGCAAGTCGTTCAACCAGAAGGCGGCCTTCCAGAACCACATGCGCACCCACGGCAAGGTGGGCGAGGACCCGTACCAGTGCAACATCTGCGGCAAGACGTTCGCCGTGCCGGCGCGCCTCACCCGCCACAACCGGACGCACACGGGCGAGAAGCCCTACCAGTGCGAGTACTGCAACAAGTCCTTCTCCGTCAAGGAGAACCTGAGCGTGCATCGGCGCATCCACACCAAGGAGCGGCCCTACAAGTGTGACATTTGCGAGCGCGCCTTCGAGCACAGCGGCAAGCTGCACCGGCACATGCGGATCCACACGGGCGAGCGGCCCCACAAGTGCAACATCTGCAGCAAGACCTTCATCCAGAGCGGCCAGCTCGTGATCCACATGCGCACGCACACGGGCGAGAAGCCGTACGTGTGCAAGATCTGCGGCAAGGGCTTCACGTGCAGCAAGCAGCTCAAGGTGCACAACCGCACGCACACGGGCGAGAAGCCCTACTCGTGCGACATCTGCGGCAAGTCCTTCGGGTACAACCACGTCCTCAAGCTGCACCAGGTGGCCCACTACGGCGAGAAGGTGTACAAGTGCACCATCTGCAACCACACCTTCACGTCCAAGAAGACGATGGAGATGCACATCAAGTCGCACGCCGAGCCGACGCCCCCCGCGCTCAACGGGGACGTGTCCGAGTCGGCGTCGTCGTCCAGCGACAAGGAGAACAAGGCCGACAGCGACGTGGAGCTGGCGCTGCGGCAGGGCGTGCAGGCGTCGCCGTCGCCCAGCCACAGCCCGAGCCTCAGCCCGGGCAGCAACTACGTCATCCACCTGCAGCCGCCGCAGCAGCACCAGCAACACCAGCAGTCCGAGTACGACTACCAGCGGCCGCAGCCCGAGCAGGTGGAGCGCGACCTGTCCTACTACCTGTACCCCAAGCCGCCGTCCGCCTACCAGCACCTGCACAGCGGCCACCACCACGGCGTCAACCCCGCCCTGCTGGCCGCCGCCGCCGCGGCCGCCGAGCGCGACGCCCGCGACGCGTCGCCCACGCCGTCGTCCTCATCACTCACCCTGGAGATCGACGAGGGCCTGAGCCCTGAGTCGTCCGAGCCGTCGTCGCGCGAGCTGCCCGTCACGGAGCCCGACGTGTACATCGTGCCGGAGGCCCTGTCGCGGTACACGACCGTCGTGGCGCCGCCGGCCTACCTGGAGGAGCCCACCGAGATGATGCGGCTGCCGCTGAGCCCCGCCAGCCCCGCCAGCCCGGCCTCCTCGCCCAGCCGGAGCCCCGCGTCGTCGCCGGACCCCATGGACCTGGCCGTCACGCGCAACGAGATGAACCTGCCCGCCAAGAAGCGCGCCCGCATGATCCAGAAGTCCATGGAGTCGGAGGTCGTGCCTCCGCAGCAACAGCAGCAGCAACGGTACTCGTCCGTCATCCAGTTCGCCCGGGCCGGCAAGTAACTCGGACTGCGGTGCACCGCGGTGCTCGCATTTTGTTTTTCATTTCAGTTACCAAATAGTCCGTCGCGGGCGGCGCCGGGCTGTGCGCCCCAGGACGACTTGGCGCCGCCCAGCGCGGTGTCTCTTGCAATCAAAGAGCGTTAGTGGTTATCGTTACAGTTTCTTATTGTGATTTGTTACATTGTATTTGTAAGTGTACAAAACTTAGAATGATATAGCTTGGGCTAATGAACTGAAGAAAATTATATTGTGCCCAAGAAATATATATTATGAAAATGTAAATTGAATTATAAATATATGCAGTCGAAGTGTTGCCATGTGTTCTATAGTAGTTATGTACTTATTATGTAAATGATTTGACTCAATACCATTGCATGATTTAGACTGTTATTGTTTATCTGTTTATTTTTGTTGTGCCGCACTGACTGTTTACCATACTTTCTATGTTGTCTTTGATTATAATGTATAAATTGTATGTATTTCAACCTCTAGTTGATGAAAGCCAAATGAACTGGTATCTGTTGTTTATGTATGAGTCTTTTTGTTGTATCTCAGGAGATTTAAAGTCAAAACCTGCTCTTTATATTCCTATTCTTTGAATACAAAGCTTAAGCTTTTCAGATTAGAAGGTCATCACATGAGCTGTTGGTGCATAAATCCAGTTGAAGCATTGGCTATTTTTGTACTCTCCATTTAGCAAATTAACGTTAATTTTGAGAATGGAGGATGTGTAGCTGTTCCTTTCACCCATTCTACCTGAAAAATGTAATCTTTTCCTATCTATTATGTATTTCGTTCGGTATGAAGAGCTGCGGTTCATGTTACTAGCAACCAAATAATATAGTCTCATGACATAACGGTTGAATATTTTGTATCATGATATTTTATCATTCGAGAGTAGGAAATTTTAATGTGTCAAGTATTTTTGTTTGCTCATGGTTTGTCTTTGACGTGTGAATCATTTAAGTTGCCGCATCGGCGGTAAGGGCACCTCAGTACACAAAAAGTAAAGAATTGCAAACAATTCAATTTAAATTTCGAGACATAAAGTCACCTACCAGTGCGTATACATTGCGGCTTTCCACCAACGGTCTAAACCCGCTGCAAGTTACCAAGTTGATCCAAATAAATATAAATATTAAGTTAAAAATTACAAATTTATCACCTCGAAAGTGAAAATTTTGAAAGCATTAGTTGTTTCTGTAAATAGATACTTGTTAAGCGCCTCCAAGACTTCAGTACGTCTCGTATACCGCTATATTTCAGAGTGCCACTCACTTCCTTTTTAGTCTCCTAGTTTTTAAAATTTCCCGCCTTTTCTTTTCGTCAAAATGAGCTGATTGACGCGCAAGTTGGGTGTGTCTCGGGTAGAGCCCTTTTGTTCCAAAGCTTTATTCTTTGTTGGATAATTTTGTTGGATACATTAACTAAATCGGCCTGGCCTGGGCAGCTTTCGCCGCCACAAGTCGCCCTTGTCCTCTCGTTGTAAAGTAGGTAGCTGAACGCAGTGCCCCGGGGCACCTGACCACACCATAGCGAGCTACCCCTCTCCGCCCGTTCGAAGCTAAATGTATTTAATTATGAACCCCAAAGACTGTTAGCGGGCACGCTCGGAGGAGGGTGGTCTTGAGAACTGCGTGGGAAGGCCTGTGGGTCTGCTGCGGCAGCTTGTCTTTTGTTCCGTGGTCGCCAAACTGTCCCCTAGCCATCTGATTTGTCAAGTATTTTCTACCTCATATGACATTAGTGTTTTAGATGTTAAAAGTATGTGTGATTTTTTTCGTGTCTCTTGATATTGTTTTCGTTTGGAAAGTAAATGCAGATGGTAGTCGGATGAGTAATTTGATCTGCGAGGAGAATGTACTGTAAGCAGGTATCGGTAAGAATTGAACTGAATTTGACAGACTGAGGGAGTTTGCAGAAGTCATTCGAAAGATTGTGATGCGTAGGGGCGTCGTGGTTTGGTTTTGAAATGGCATAAGAGCTTCAGTTTTCGCCCCTTGAACAGAACTCTACGTGTTTTCGGAGCTGTTTTACCTCGCCGTTTAGTTTTGTTCAAAGGTCGGGCTCTGTGAAAGTGACTTGTTGGGAAGTTCGGTCCAGGTCTCATGGGGCCTGTTGCCATTGTTACTGTTAAAGTGTGTATCTCAGTAGCTAAATAAAAGCATTCCTAATGAGTGAAAATGTGAAATCCTAAAATTTCTCTATTTCTTTCGGTGTCATTTAAGAGTGAGTGTGTGATGTAGATGTCCTATGTCTAGTTGTGAGAATGTGATGCTGCTTACTTGTATTTATACAAACATGTAAAATATATGTCCTCTGATTTTAAAGCTACCCCTGCCTTTTATTGACACGAAACCCGAAATCCTTAGAAAGAAAATGCCAAGCCGGCACATTTACACATTTACAGACTCTCTCGTCCTCCCGCCTGTTCAAGTCTCTAGCTACATCGCAGTTACAAGGGAACTCATTGCGCCGCTGATGGTCACTTCCGCTTTCACAAACCAAGGGAAGTCGAAATAATTGGCCGACACGAAATAAAAGTGCGAGGCCAGGCCGAGGGGCGGGGGGAGGACGGGTCGGGACAGCAGCAGGGGAGTCCGCCCGGCCCGGCCGCAGCGCTGCGCGCCGAGCGCCCGGAGAACGGGGGTAGGCTGTACCGCCAGCCACGGCGGGGTGGCGGGGCGGCCTGCCTCCACGGCGCGCGGCTCCACGTCGCTCCGCGCCACTCGGGGGCAGGGGGGGGGGCACATTGGCGTGGAGCAAACGCACGCCCTGACGCTTTTTAAACATCGCGGGTGACGGACGCTGGAATTAAATGTCGCGCACTGGCGTGGCGTGGCGGGGTGCGTGCGCCGCGTCCCTCGAGCAGGGCAACAAGGTCACGCGACGCTCCGAGTGACGGAATGACACGCGCGTGTGCGGGCCGAGCACGCCTTGCAGCACGCATCCGCCGTCATCGGAATTCCTACGGTGTGGCAGGCAGTATATGGGATTGGCTGGAAAAAATGGGAATAAAACGAAAGTAGCACACGCTGCCGTTGATTGCAGTCGGCGGCCAGGCAAGGGTTGCAGTGAAGTGCAGCCCTGCCCGCCCGCCCTGTTTACTGGCCGGGGACTTCGGCGCCGTCGGATGCAGCCTGCAAAACCAGCAGGTCGACCTTGGCAGTGAACTGCAAACAAGTAGCCCCCCCCCCTCCCGCCTGCTTTTTGGACGCGTTCCTTGCAGCTCGCACACTGCGGGCGGGCCCTGATCTCGCCCAACACTGTTGCCAACTGCCGAAACGCGAAACTCTGGGCAGGAAGGACGAGGAGAGCGCGGGGCGGTGCGGCGCGGGACCAAGAAAACGGGGCAGCGTCGGGGCTGGCTTAGGCTGGCCGGGTAGGAGGAGGTAGGAGAGTCGGCCGGGCGGACGCCGGGCCGGCCAGGAGGCCTCAGAACTCAGGTTGCCGCTCTGCCGAAAACAGTAACCTTCAACGGACACGCGAAACAGGGCGCGAGGAGGGGGGCTGCTGCGGCGGTAGCGGCGGTAGCGACGTTAGCGAAGGCGTAGGTAGCCCGGCCCGCCCAGCCTTGGCTGTCTTGGCACTCGGTGGCGGCGGCGGCAACCGCGGCGAGCTGCAGACATTGGCCACGCCGGCGTCCCGTCGGGTAGGTTAGGCCGAGCCAAGTGACCAGTACACTAGGAGGATCGGGACCGTGGAAAAGAGGGGGGGGGGCGAATACAGTCATTTTGCTGAGGACAGTCGAGTGCAGCTCTCGCGGATTCATGAGAGGACCATGGACTTTCGGGAAGCTCGAGAAACTTTGTCCGAGCGACGCCGAACGTCACTGTCTCACTCGCACTCGTGGGGCGTTCCTTCTAGACGTGACAGAGACAGGATGAATCAGTGCTATCTAGCGTAGGCGCAGAGTTTCCTGTTTCTTGCTAGATTTTGGGGGTCTGGGCGTAGGGCCTGGGCGTAGGGCCTGGGCGTAGGGCCTGGGCGTAGGGCCTGGGCGTAGGGCCTGGGCATAGGGCCTGGGCGTAGGGCCAGCCGCCCGGACGGCAGGCAACGCGGCGAACGCAGGCGGCCGTTGGGTTGCCGCCCTGCGCGGGGCTCCGCGCAACCAACCCCGAACCGGCGCGCTTGGACTCGTCTGCGAATTCCAATTGGGGTCGCGCAAAAAGACGAAATGACGATCCGGTCGTCTGAAGCGAAGCGACAATATTGCTGCTCTCCCGTCGAAGTAATCGAATCACCGGGCTGCACCAATTTCCTTTCCCCACCCCTCTCCTTTCCCCGACACTGGAAGACTACCGCTTGGAATCTCTCCAGCATTCTTCGCGCGTGGCTTGGCTGGCCACTTCGGCTGGCCTCTCCGGCCCCCGCTGTGGTGTGTCGTGTAGTGTGAATGAAGAGCACAGTGCCAGAGCAGTGCTGTCATTTTTCTTCTCTCGATGAATCCGAGCGCCTCGCCGCGTCGCACAGTGGGCCAGAAGACCGCTTACATTGCGACCGCCTCCACCGGTCTTCTGGCCCACTGTGCGCCGTGCTTGGTCTTGTCCCGAGGTATCGAGGGAATTTGCAATATCCCTTGTTATGCGACCTGGCCGGCGGTATGGAAGCTCCGGCATCAGGCGATGGAGACCCGCACCCCGCTGAGATGACTCCGTGGAAAAAGCGCGGCGCTCCGACAGGTCTCGAACCCGCGCCCCGCCTCGCAGGGCTTCGAGAGGTGCACGACGACGGCGACCTTCGAGAGGGTGCAGTTCAATGGGGCGCCGCGTTCGATCGAGTGGCAGTGGAGTAGCAGGCACACGACTCGAAATAGACTCGCCCAAAACCGCCCCTCCTCATCTCCTCTCATCACGGTGGCGCAGTCATTCACGGAGCACGGCGCGCCGCGGCGATCAGGAAGTCCTGGGCGCACTTGGTGCTGTTGGAGGTCAGGGTAAACAATCAATAAGCGACCTGGCCCACAATTTATTTATTTATCTAGTGCATCGGCGATGTGTCTCTGTACAGTAGAGGGCATGGCGCAGTACGGGCGGCGCGTGGCGGCCTGCACACTTCCCATCCTGACCTTGCGCTCCGAAACGCAGAAAGACAGCGCCGCAGCGCGGTCTTCTTGTCCTCGTCCGTCCTCGTCCGTCGCACGGCGAGCGACGCGCGCCAAAAGTCGCGTTTCGCGCGCAGCCTTCCCGCCTTGATTACCGGCGCAGCGCTGCAGCTTGGCGTACAGCGCCACCTAGCGGCCGCGCCGGCAACCACGAGGCGCCCTGGCGGCGCGGGGTATCGCCGTGGGGGAGGACCCGGCGGCGCTGCGCTGCGGATTTGGTGGTGGATTCGATCCACGGATCCACGCAATGCAGTCCAGCGAGATGGCCTGAGCCTGTAGAGGCCCCCGGGGCCGAGCCGCTACGCCTCTAGGCGGACAGCGCCGCCTGCACCAAGGGCAGCACCTGCTTCCTGGAGCACTTGGTGTTCCGCTGGTCGAAGAGCGACACGCCTGGAAGCGCGCACGGCCGCTCCACCAGCTGCAGGCTCTCGTCCTTCTGGAGGGCCTCCACCAGCTGCAGAAGGTCATTGAGGGTGAGTCGCAGTTCCAAGGTGAACCTCCAGTGCCAGGGGAGGGGGCTCACCGTCTTCGCCGGCTGCTCCTTGCCGCCCGCGCTGTAGACGGCGATGTCCCTCCTCAAGGTGGACGACGCCTCTCCCGAGAAGCTCATGCCCATGACGACGGCCGCGTCCGAGAGGTGCTTGGCGCAGAGGGCCGCCAGGGCCTCCGCCGCGTCGGCGCGCTGCAAGAAGTCCTGCGACAGAAGCGCCAGCGGTTTTCAAGGTCTGAGTCCCGACTGGCGGTCGAACTCGGAAATCAGCGATCGGGGACGCACCTGCACTAGCAGCGGCATGCCGGGGAGGGGCAGCCCGCGCACGACCTTCATGTCCTTGTGCAGGATCTGCAGCGCCGTCAGCTCGGAGACGTCTTTGCGCGCGGCGATGATGTCCTCGAACGTTGCCGAGCGGTCACTCCTGAAAACACCAGTTTGGATTCATCGACAATTATTTTGGCAGAGTACAGGTGCACGTGCGAGGGCGACTGGGGCCGCGTCACGTACGCGTGGCCGGTGCCGCGCTCTTCGCACGCCGAGACGATGGCTGTGTCTGACGGGGTGGTGCGATCCGCCTGCGCCGAGAAGCAGGCCGTGTCCAAGAGGACCGTGCCTGAAAAAAGAAATACAAAAATAACCGACATGGAAGGATTTTCTCAGCTTTTGGGCCAAATTGTCGTTGCAAGAACGTACCTCGGATGAGATCCGCGACCTGCGCGTCGAACAGCTCGGGTGCGAGGGCCAGGATGCGTTCCCCGACGAGGGACGCGCAGGAGCCCACCACGTTGATGACCACCTCGCAGTCGCGGGGCCAGGCCGCCGCTGCCACCGCGTCCCGGGGCCGGTGGTCCAGGACAGCCACGGCCGAGGGCTCTGGAAAGTCGAACAGCGCGCAAGAACGCTTATTGCATGCCCACTGGAAAGCATCCATGCGCTCCGATTGACTCACTGACCATCGGGGGTGACGGAGGCCAAGCTGGCGTACAGGGGCCGGTCCCGCTCCGGCAGCGCGTGGTGATCCACCAACGTCAGCCGCAGTCGCCCGGCCGCGTGCAGCGCCGCCAAGTCCACCTCGTCCCTATCGGCAGAGGCGCAAGCGTTTCCGTAGTGTAGCGGTTATCACGTGTGCTTCACACGCACAAGGTCCCCGGTTCGATCCCGGGCGGGAACAGTGTTTTGGATCTGGTGATAGCGATTGGAAGCTATGGCTTACTGAGGCTGTATCGCCTTGGCATGACTATCGTACCAACTGGCCCATTAGCTCAGTTGGTTAGAGCGTCGTGCTAATAACGCGAAGGTCGTGGGTTCGATCCCCCCATGGGCCACTCAACATTTTTGACAGACCAAGAAGATAAGCAATTTTGAGAACTAGACACTTACCGGAAAGTTAGCAAGTCTTCAGATATGCCATTTTTGCTCAGGAAATAAGTCACTTCCGTCTTCAAAGCATACTCCTCACGAGGAATGTTAAGCACAGGGATACATGAGCTTCTTGTGCCTTGGCTGTGCATCAGCAAACCCAGGCAGAGTGCTGACACAACTGAATCCAAGTCGCATGACTCATTACCTAGTATAATATGGATAATGTCCAGAGATGCAGGAGAATCGGTGAGATGGTTCTGAAATAATCCACCAAAAAAATAACTTTTAAAAAAGGCAAAATTATTTTTGACAAGGGAGAAAATTAAAGTCGATCATATTGTACTTTTGAGAAATGCAATTAAATTCAGAAAACTAATTTATGCAAGACCATTAATTGAAAATGCACCGAGTATAAATGACCCTGGCAAGCCATCAAGGAATGGCGAATGGCACCCAATCAGGTGCATGGTCTTGGCAAACTGTCAAGTTAGGAAAGGGCAGAAGATTGTCAGAGGTAAAGGTTCAGTTGCTCAATTCCAAGCAAGGAGTAGTGAACACTCAGTCTCCCAGTGAAGGCAGGCGTGCACAGTTGATGGCTCTGTCATGTGAGTGAACTTGTGTTGCACCACATGCATGAAACGAATCGGACTGTCACTTCCGGGCTATCACTTCTTGATCGGCTTTGTCATCGAAAACAAATGACAGAACTACGTTAAACCTAAACTGCTACCGAAACTCAGCCAGGGCCAAATCGTACCCAGGCTTTCTTCGACTTCCTCAGAAACTGTAACAGTGGCGTGCCCGACATCTTGGGCGGGGCTTACGGGGAATGCCCGCGAAAGCAAGGTTTTGTTTGCCGGGCGAAAGCGCCGCGCATCTGTAAACAACATGCGTGACTAATGGTGTAATTCTGAAGGTTATGTTGTTTGTTTTGGTTCGGCCCAAGATATCGCGGGCAGGGCAGGGGGCGGGGAAAGAGGGAAGGAAACACGTAACATTCCGGAAATCTTCTTTTTCTTTCCGTGCTTCTCTCAGTGGGCCAGGACCTCCTCTTGATTTGGCTTTTGTGCCTATTTAGATCATCTTTGAGCGCTTTGATGTGCATAAAATCTTCTACTCCACACATTCTCAGCGTTTTGTCACTTTATTTTGCCCCAAAACGCCTCACAAGGCCTCAACGAGAACTTTATGGCCGAGAAAACCCTGGCCACATGGATCATAGCCTTTGAGAAAATGTCCTGTGCCGTGCCTCCAAAATAAATTTGTTTAGTGTCAAGATGGCCGCTGAAGGATGGTAGATAAGATTAGGCATTAACTTTCTGTTGTTATTTAACGTAGCCGCTTTTAGTGAGTGCCGAAATAGCCCAAAATGCGCGACCAACACACTCACGACCCTGAGGCAGAGATCCCCGTTCGGTCCTCAAGCCCAGCGAGCGCAGTGCGTAGGTGGTGACCCAATTTGCAAGGATGGCCTTAGCACTGTGTTGAGCAGAGCTACTCGGCCGTTCCGATTTTGGGTTCGCGTTGCACCATTGGGCGGCCGCAAGTAGCTAGACGGGTGCCTCATGGAGCAAGCTACCAGTCGGGTGGTCAGGGCGGGCAAGCCGAGGCTGGCGGCCGAAAGGGCCGAACCCGAGGCCACGGCGAGCTCCAGCTCCACAGCGAGTGGGCCGTCCAGCCTCTCCAGCGCCAAGCCCGTTGTAAACATGCGCAAGTCCAAACCGTCTATTGGAATCCACGACAGGGGAGGCCGGCGATTTTCTGACACCAAGGACCCTCCTTCAGGAACTTTATCAGGTGGGGACAATCGTCTGGGTCAGGTGTGGTACCCGTGCGATGGTCTGTTTGTTGTTTTGTTTGTTCTTAGTGGGGGGTAGAGGTCTTTACTCTGTTCAGTGTCTTCTGCTTGTTTTGACCATTTCAATCATAGGGTTGTTGTGGTTCTCTACCAGTGAGTGACCTTTTGCTAGAACAGCCTCCGTCTTTTTTGTGTTTTCAGGTGGACACTCAGGCGCAGGAGAAGTATCCAATTTAGTTCGCATCCATGGATCGACTCTGGGTCAGTCTGCTCCCTCATTGTCAAACACAATGGTAAGCTACATCGTAATATGGCATGAGAACTCTCCCGTTAGTTTTGACTTTTGTGTTAATTAGGGGTATGCTTTCTTTATTGCAGAAGGAGTTGTGCATATCAAGGCGAAGCAGCAGAGTTAGTCAGAGAAAAAGCTTTATCTCAACAACATCTCCAACACTGCCTCGGTGCCTCTCTCCTATGTCTGGTAAGTGCTGAAGACATGTTTTTGGTGCTGATTTTTGTTTGTGGTTGCACTGGAATGAATTAAAACCCTTTTTCTTTCTCGTGCAGGAAGTCCGCTTGAAAGTCCCAGGATGTCTCCCAATCAACACTTTGCCTATGCTCCCATCAGAAGGTAAGCCTGAAATATACTTAAACTGACCAGTGTACTTGGTTTCACCTAGAATGCACACCACTTTCAAAGCATTCATGACAAGTCTCCTTTGTAAACTTGCAACATTTATAATGGCAACACTTTCCAAAGAATGCCTGTGGTTTTATCCAAATTTTAGTTGTCATCAGTTGTAAAATGTTTCCTATGTAAATCATCTTTGACAAAATACTAAGCTATCAATAGCTATAAATAAAATTAATATTTTACCAGGGTCAACCAGGATAAGAAAAACAAGAGAAGTCTGTAAGTGTATTGTGACAACTGTACCATCTCATTTGCATCTTCTATTTTATTAATATCTGATGGCATGTGTATAGATGTCAAGTAATGTTAGAGCTGTATTGATAAGCGATGCACTCACTTAAGAATAGATCTACGTACTGTTCTAGCTGCTAGTTTTTGATGTTCATACTTTGAGCACATGTTCATACTTCAAAACACACAGCATGTGAGCACTAAAATGATTTAAGTCACAATATTGCTTTTAAAGTAACTGAAGCTTCTTGTTGCCCACACATTTGTAAAGCATATTTTTTACAGCGGCATTGTGATCACATTTTTGAATGGGTTAAGTTTTACTATTTTACCACCTTCTGAGGCATAATCTCCTCAAACAGTTTTAACAATTTTACCTTGTGATCAATATTGTGCTGACAGCTATACTCACAAGAAATTTATGTTCTATGTGCATTGGGCTTGGGAATGTACAAATTGTTTTTCATTTATGGAAGCATCAAGCATCCCCTACTAAAGTTGAAATTGTGACTGTGTCTTTGTCACTATGGTTTTCAATTAATACAGCGCAACCATTTCACTTTGTTTCAAAGACCCACAAACACTATGTTTACTTCAGCTGAGTGATTCTTTTCATGTATGAATTTTATGTTGTTGCTTGATACTGTGAATAAGCCTACCTGTTAATATCCTTCCTAAAAACTGACGTCATCAAGAAATCCAGATTTTTTTTTTTTTGGTCCTGGGTTTTAGTAGGGGTAAGAAAGTAGCAAATTCGGTGCCAAAGTAGCCACCTCAGGGTATGTCTTACCTATTTAGGATTGATTGAATTTTGGAAATGTCTAGTTAGCATGTAAATCAATGTTAGTCCATTACCTGTTGCAATAATACTTAACTTTGACATTTTTGTTGGTATGTGATAAATAAATAAGATAAAAAAAAATATTCCAATTTAGTCTGGGAATTGCCTATATTTTCAGTTTCTGTTTCTCCTTTGTGTCACGATTTGACATGAGAACTTTTTCTTGTGCAGGTGTGAAGGCAGACGCTGGTCTGTGGCCTCTCTTCCGTCATCTGGTTATGGGACGACACCAGGAAGCTCAAGTGTATCTGTAAGTGTTCGAAACTGTAGCATACCCCCGTTTTTCCTCTCACTTCACGTTTCCCTCTTTTCTTTTCTTGTCTTTTGTTTTTCTTTCTTTTTTTTTTTTGGCCCTGATTATTTAACAGTTTTAACCTTTTCATAGCAGCATGCTTAATTATTATCTCCATTACATCAAATATTTTCAATTTGACAGGCCTTGATTTATTTGGAGGCTGATACGTATTGCACTCTCAGTTCTCTAAATTTTAATTCCATTATGCTTGTTCTTGTGCTTTCAACCAAGTTTTCAAGGTGCACTTGTTTGTCGTTTTGTGCTTGGCTTCTCTTTTTACATTTTAGTGCATTGATTAACTGCTCTTATCACCACAAAAGATTGCTACAAACACCTCTGCTTGCTTTGTTTTGTTTTTAGGATAATCGCTCTAGATTTGACCAATATATTCTTCAAAAGGAACGGAGGCTAAAATTTGTAAGTGTATCTCGCACTCTCGGGTTTTTAAAAGTAACAAGTAATGAATTTCACCTCCCTCCCCAGTTGAAAAAAGGAAAAAAAAGAAAAAATTATTTTGGGGACCAAACATTGGTGTAGGTGCGCATGCTATGCTTTGCCTCCTGTCTAGAATCTTCTTGAAATGTTGTGTATAAAATTTGATCATTTTGTTTCCTGTTGATATCCCAAGATCTTCACTGCTGTTATTTTCTGCATTAATGGGTCTTAAAGTGGATTTACAATAAACATTCCCTCTTTTCAGTCACAATGCTCATCACAAGAACGCCTTCATCAACTGCCTAATTTACCTACTAAAGAGGAGCTTCAGATGCTGACAAGACACTTTTCGAACGAAGCCCATCACAGTTGTGTTCATGACGAATACAGTCCAAGGTCTCCTTTAAGCCGTCCAAGATCGCGTAGTCTAAGGTACTGAATTCAAGTGGTTTAATTTCCATGTTAAGATTACTCTGTTCTTAACTTTTTTAACTTCAACTTCACTTTACAGCTCACCAAGCCGCTCTCCAGTCATGGACACGGACATTATTGTAATGAATACTATGTATAAAGAAAGGTTTCCCAAGGTATGGAAAATAATCCTAAATTAACAATCATTTCAAAGTATCTGGTAACTCAACCTAATTATTTGTTTGCAGGCAACACAACAAATGGAGGAGCGCTTGAAAGCTTTTATTAATGAGACTAAAGTTACAGAAGGCGATTGTGAGCTTCATCTTAAAGATTTGCCCATTTTACGCTTCGTCCTCCATCAGATTGTTGAAATGGCGAGAGACTGTCTGCAAAAGTCTGAAGAGAAGCTTATATCTAGCCGTTATTTCTATGACATGTCAGAAAATCTTGAACGACTCCTTAGTGAGGTACAATTTGATTTTCTCATTGTATAAATATTATTTTTGTTTCAAATTGTTTGCCTTGTTCTGTATTTGTCTTGGGTTCTTCCAGACAAAAGAAAAGAGCATCGAAGCCGCAGGACGAGTAGGGACTGTTGTCAGAAGGCTTCTTTTGATCATATCACGGCCTGCTCGTTTGCTCGAATGTTTGGAGTTTGATCCTGAAGAATTCTATCATATGCTTGAGGAAGCTGAGGGTCAAGCCAAGCTCGCCCATCAAGTGAAGGCAGACATACCTCAGTACATTCTGGGCAAGCTGGGAATGACTAAAAATTCGAGTGCAGAATTGGATGAAGACTTGAGCTCCATCAACATTTCGCCACCTCCACCATCATCTACCGCACCAAACTCAGCAGCGGCAGCTTGTGTTACTACTACTGAGAAAGGGCGCGGCATCTTACACCGTGGCAGCAAAAAAGAGTTCAAGGTAAGAATTTTGTAGTACTGTGTATAAGCAAATTTGTGTGTTAACATTAACGTTTTTAATCCTTAAATGCTTTAATCATGCTTTCAGAATCCATCAGAGGATGATTTTGAAGTGATTAAGTTGATCTCAAATGGCGCCTATGGCGCAGTTTACTTAGTAAGAGTTAAAGAGACACGACAGCGTGTGGCTATGAAAAAGATCTCAAAAAATAATCTAATGCTCCGGAATCAAGTGGATCAAGTTTTCACAGAGAGGGACATAATGAGTTTTACTGATAATCCATTTGTTGTGAGTATGTATTGCAGCTTTGAGACAAAGGTATGTTCCATAAGTTTTATTGTTTAAATATTATTCTTTGTTTCAAATATCACTACGAGCTATGTGGCTATAAATTTTCTTCATTTGCTTTGCAGAAACATCTTTGCCTCGTTATGGAGTATGTTGAAGGGGGCGACTGTGCAGCTTTGTTGAAAAGCATTGGCCCACTACCTTCTGATATGGCTAGATTTTATTTTGCTGAAACTGTGCTAGCAGTGGAGTACTTGCACAGTTATGGAATTGTACACCGTGATTTAAAGCCTGACAAGTATGTTCTTTGACCGTAGCTGCATAATTTCCCTCCTGATTTATCTGCTACAATTTCTTATTCCATGTTCTTTTTTTTCCTGCAGCCTGCTGATTACTGCTTTAGGTCACATTAAACTAACAGATTTTGGTTTGAGCAAGATGGGTCTCATGTCTTGTAAGTAGCTTCAAAATGATTATTGATTTGTGTTAGTAATCTGTTAAATGAAAAGCCCTATTAATATTCATCTTGCCTTTCTTCAGTAACAACAAATTTGTATGAAGGATACCTAGACAGAGAAACACGCCAGTTCTCAGACAAACAGGTTACCGGGACTCCTGAATATATTGCCCCAGAAGTAATATTGAGGTGAGAACAATTCACACACTCTTTTTCTTTTAATGGATGGCTTTTTATAATAAGTTTTACCTTTGCACAGTGTTTATGAACTCAGTTTTTAACAACTCTGTAATATGTTTTAGGCAAGGTTATGGTAAACCTGTTGACTGGTGGTCTATGGGAATTATTTTGTACGAATTTCTTATTGGTTGTGTTCCATTCTTTGGTGAAACTCCTGAAGAGCTTTTTGCTCATACTGTTAATGGTACGTCGTTTACTCTGTTTCTTGATTTGTGTTTCGCTTCCTGTAAGTTCCTTAAAATAATAATAACATTATCTGTTTTAAATGTGTTCCAGATGACATTGAATGGCCTGATGAAAAGGATTGGCCTGTACAACTGGAATCTAAAGATTTAATTACTCAGCTTCTACAGCACAATCCTTTGATCAGGCTTGGAACAGGAGGTGCTCAGGAAGTAAAGGATCACCCATATTTCTGTGGCCTAGATTGGACAAGCTTGCTTCGTCAGAAGGCTGAATTCGTACCCCAGCTGGACAATGAGGACGACACCAGTTATTTTGACAGTGCGTTCTGCATCATACATTTATTTCAAGCCTACTTTGTTTAGACCTTTTTGATAAACATTGTCTTTTGTTTGTATTTCAGCTCGTATGGATCGTTACAAGCATGATATGGGTGATGATACAGATGATACTGATGAGTCAATGCTGTTTGGGTTTTCATCTATCTCACCAAGATTCCAAAAAGTGCATGGATCCGAGGAACGCCGAATGTCATCACTTGCATCATCAACCTTGCCGTCTTCTGCTTATCGAGAAGTTACTCCTCCGAGTAGAGCTCAGTCAAATACTTCTGACTCTCCAAAGACAACAAAATCGGCCACCTCAGTTGCATCAACTGCATCATCCCTGCCTCATGATTCTGGCAATTCTGAATCATCTTCATCGAATGTTGGAAGTAGCATGGAATTGGATGAAAGCAAGGAATCATCAGAGAGCCGTGGAGACCACGCCAGTCTTGTCCATCACCATTCTCTCAGCACTCCAGAATCTTCACAAACAGAAAGTGACGATGTTTCACCACAAGTTCAAAGAAAGAGAAGATTGCATACAAGGGATTCTCTTCCTCGGTTTTCAATTTCAGTTGAGGATGAAAAGCACATGTAAGTATCCTTGTAGTTTGATGAAAAAAAAAAATTGTTTTCTTTTTCTATGTTTTGAGTCAGCACTGATTTGTATTTTTCCATTCTGTCAGGATCAATATTCCAGTTTTGAAAGGACCTGACCGATCAGCATTTGTCTCATTGGATGAACGTTCTTCCAAAGTTGGAGTACGACCAGGCCCTAGCATGCCATCTACGTCTAGTAGCACTATTGAAAGCTCCCCAGTTTCTTCCATTAAAGCGCGGGGAAGACCTGTTATTAAAAGTGCGTCTGCTAGTGGTCTTTCTCTAATGATTCCCACAACTGTATACTTGAGTAAGTTTTTCTTATCTTTTCATAGTGTTAACATGTTGCCCATGTGTTGAATTCTGCAAATTATTGAATTGTAACGTTTCTCTTGCAGCAGATGATGCACCTCAGTCAATGCCTTCTCCTGGGGGTTCGAGCACTGCCAGTTCCAGAGACACTTCACCTTGTCGCGAACTTTCTCCTCTGGTCACAAACCTGAAGCCTCCTATAATTATCAAGCGAGGAGCAAGGGGCTTTGGCTTCACTGTCAACACAATTCGAGTGTACTATGGAGATACCAATTACTACACAATGCATCATCTTGTCATGGTGAGCTTCACTAGTTGTTTTAATTATTATAGTAACATCCTTAACATTGAATGTTTCTGTATTTTGTTATCTTGTGTCTATTCTCCAGGCTGTTGATGAAGGAAGTCCAGCATTTGAGGCAGGTTTGAACCCAGGAGACTTGATCACTCATATCAATGGAGAGCCTGTTCAAGGTTTATTCCATACTCAAGTCCTTCACTTGCTTCTGAGTGGTGGGGATCATGTCACTTTAGGATCAACACCTCTTGAAAATACATCCATTAAAGCTGGTGGTCACCGTCGAGAACCAGGACAGAGTAAACTCGCCCGACGAAGCTTGAACAGACAACGAAGACAGAAGAGGGACTTGATTGACAAACGCCGCAAACCGTCTCTTTTCAAAAGAATCAGCAACAAGCGGGCAAGTGTGGACCTGGCTCAGCCTCTCAGCATATCAAGTCCAATGTCAGCTCCTGTTGTTCCTCTGGAGAGCAGGCCTCAGTTTTTGTTAACTGGTGTAGGCTGTCAGCCTGCAACTCGTTCACAGCCTTGGTCTCTAACTGGTCAAGATTCTGGAACCCGAGTGAAACCTCTTCGTTCGCCATCCTCCAACAGAGTGTCGTTTCCTCCAGCGGAACCGCTTGCTCAGCCATATTCACCCAACACATCATCAAGTTCGTCAGGCTCCTCAGCTGCCAGTAGCCCTGCGGCAGCCACACCGCATTACCAGCGACCGTCTACTCTGCATGGGCTGAAGCACAAACTGCACAGTGCAGCCAAGAATCTTCATTCATCTTCTGGGCGCCGGAAATCAGTGGGGCATATTCCACTATCTCCGCTTGCACGGACTCCATCGCCGTCCCCACTGCCGTCCTCACCAACTAGATCACCTTCACCTTTAGCATTCCCAGCTGTTCACCAGCCAGGAAGCTCTAACACTACTCAGTCGTACAGCCCTGGGTCATCACTTTCAACTCCTGGTGGTTGCGGAAAAAAAGGTTTCGCTCGCCCCAAAAGTGCCGAACCAGGAAGTCCGCTTCTTAGGAGGGCCCTGTCTCCTGACCGTCTCCATCCTAGAAGCGCCGAAAGCAAGTGCAAAGCTGGTGCCCCATCCATATCGCCTCTTTGTAATAACCCTTCACCCAAGGTGAGTGTGGCTGCGAGCTCCGCCTCAGGCTCCACAGTAACATCACGCTCTCCCCTTTCGAAAGCGTCATCCCTTGACAAAGGGCTCAAATCAAAACCTCCAGAGCATCCCCTCTCGATAAGACCAGACTCAACAGATGACTTGTCTGGCATTCGAAGTTTACCAAAGGATGATTCTGAGGCTCAAGATAGCGGTCAAGGCCAAGGTCACATGTGTGTGAAGGGTATCGTTCCGATCGACGGCCGTAATCCGCTTCCCCTCCCTCGCATCGCCGAGGAAAAGGATTCACCCCCTGGGAGCAGGGAAGATGCCATGAGAGAACTTATGCCTTCTCTTCCACCCCCACCGCCCCCAACAACGCCATGTACTCCCAGTACTCCATGTATCCCGTTTATACCACTGCTGAAGTCTGTGATAAGAGAGGAGGAAACTCACAAGAAAAAAGAAGGTTGTGATAAAAGAGGGAAAGAGTTCTTTGAAAAGAACAGTGGAGCTTCCTCTTCAAAATGCAAGGATAAGCAATGAGAAGTTAGTAATGAGCTTTTCCCTTCTAAAATAATGAATTTGTGTCAATGGTGGCTACTTTGGATGAAAACTTTTTCCAAGAAAAAGTATTCATATTTGTTACTTAGGGATTAGTGAAGAGTGCTGATTTAATTTTTCGCTCTTCAATTTATGTGTTTGTGTATTTTTAAGTGAATGATTTTATCAACTCTATCTGATTGTATGAAGACGTATTTAAATTGCTTGGAGGTAACTGGGTTGGTTTTTGAAATTGAAACAGTAGAAACTCCCTCCCGATGTTCATAAAAGACTTGGTCTTTCAGCAATGTGTGGTTTGTCTTATGCTTTTTTTTAAATGTCAACTGTAGTTTTGATTTTGCCTTTTATAATGAAAGATGAATTAAATTTTCTGAGCTAGTCAAATAAAGACAACTTTTACCTCGCCATCTTCAAGTTAATATTTGGAATATTGGTAGAATATTCAGGTTTCTTTTCTTTTTCTCTTTATTTTCGTTTGTTGTGTTATTCATACTTCGCATTCATAGATCATGCATCCTCCACTTGTTATTTATTTATTTATTTGCGTTTTAGGACTGAGAGGTGAAGGTGAATCTAAATTTTCAATTCATCTTATTCCAGTCGTCTTCATCCTACTGGTATAGTAGGTATGACAACATTCAGTGGTTTTCTTCTCTGAATTTGGTTTTCAAAAAATTGATATGTCCAACATTTCAGAATCTTTTTGTTTTTCCTCTTATTTCTGAGCTATTTAACATTGACTGGTATTGCAATATGCCGATATTGCATGCTCAATCAGAAAATTTGATCTGGCAGGTTCTATTCAATATAAAACATTTGTTACTCATTCTCGGTAACTAAGTTGTGGCATAGTTCATTGTCTTGCATTTTAGAAAATGTGTTGCTTACCTGAACATTGTACTGTTTTTTTTTCTTTTGTTTACTTTACCATTTTGTTTATAAGTGCACAAGTCATTCATGTACAAAACTGTGTTTATTGTGTAGTATTGTAAACATCTAGGTGGTTTAATGTGATCAGGATATATGTGACTTTGGACAGGTGCTTTCCAGCTTGAAGTCAGGTTGAAGTGTTCTTAAGGTTGGATTTGTGTATTTTTTTTGTTTTATTACTTTCTACAATGGTTTCAAATGTATTATTTCTGTGGGACTTATTCAGAATAAGCACTCATGGCAGGCTTAGTGGTGCTAGGTGTAAATACATGTAACTAGAGCCCTTAGTAACTTTTTGAATGTGCAGATGTAGACATTTCATATACATCTGTGTCCAAACAAATTCAATGTGGGCCATGGGAAGTTACTTTAATGTACAGCACTTTTAATGACAGACAGCCCGGTGTCAAAGACAACTGCAGCTGCAATGGGAAGAACAAATTAGGTTCATTAGATTATTGTTAGTCCACTTATTTGCTGGTGTATATGTGTTGATAACACAAAGCCTTCTATTATTGTCAAGTGTCATTAGGACCTTCAGGTAGACTTGTGTGTGTTTCCTGTCTCCAGCTTTGAGCCTAGCTCTGGATATTGTTAACTTAATCTTTTTTGCCTTTTTGGGTTCTTTGAGACCATAGCTTAAATTTGAGTGCCATGTTATATTTTAATGGCATTGTGGATTTTTCTTAAAGTTATTTTTTAGGACTGTGCTGTCCTGTTGTTCTTTCTTTTTTAAATTTTTTCCCACTCCTTTGAAAGGTCAGGTCAGGTACGGAAGTGCAAAGGTGCCATAAATGTTTTTTTTCTTTGCTATTGCTCTTTATTTGCAGAGCAATTTTATGTGCAATCAACATACCTTAACAGTAGTTGACCGGTTCAAGTGTCCCTTTGCACAAGACAGATTGATTGTTTGCATTGTAAGAATTGATTTTAGACTGAATTATTTATTATCTCTAGTCAAAGACTAGATTTTCTTTTTGTCTAGTTTGCCTTTTAAGCTTATGTGATTTAATCTTCAGTTATTATTGTGATTGTTATAACACCACCCAGCTGCTCTAAATTGCAATTCTCGGTCTGTATGTGTCATCCAATAGCAGTTGGTATATTTGTCCTATATTGATGACTGATGCAATATCTGTGAAGTTGAATGATGTATTTTTTAGGTACCATCCAATACATTTGATGTGGCAGGTGCACACTATTCTCTAAAGAATAGAAGGTGATGTGGATTTACTACAAGGTTTGGTTGGTAGTTTGTTGGCTTTTATATAGTATATGTCAAAAAGTGAGTCAACCAACAAACAGAATTTTTGACCATGTTTTCTTTGATTCTTCCAATGCTATATATTGTACATTTTTTGTAATATTTTACTTTGCATCAGATCTGTGAGTTGTATTTGAAATGAAGTATAACTACTTGTATATACTGGTGGGTAACTTATCTTCAAACTTCATAACACTTCATCACAAGAGATAATTGTGCTTGTAAGTTGTATGTTAACATTTTTGCAAGTGTGGGGCTTAAAGCGCACCCCAGATTATCCACTTCTATTTTTTTATGTGTATACTTGAATGTTTTTGTGTTCTTCCGCATTACCAGTTACATGCTATCTCTAATATGCCTTTCAACCCTGAAAATATTCATAGTTTTATGTGCAAGATTCATCACTCACTAGCAGTTGTGGAAATTAGAAGATAAACATACCTGTACAAAGAAAAATTTTAAAAAATGTAATAAAAAGCGCAAAAATTGTCCCCGAACCTCACTTAAGTATTATCGAATAACTTGGTAACATTGTTCCATTGATAACAATAAATGAACTACTCCTCTGTTTTACTCTGCCTCTTTTACTCCCTCATTGACCCGCATTGATGTCTCTGGCCGCGCGTGGGCGCGCGAGTAGCGGCGCACAGAACAGCAGTCTGACCAGCACGCCTGGTGGGGTGGGGGCACGAGGAGGCCCTGCTTCAGGTTGGCCAGGCCCAGGCAGGGCGCAAGTCCCGTCCGCCCAACCAAGTCATGGCGAGCAACGCGTTGAGCAGAACTACGCGGCTTCAAGGCGCGGAGCGCGGAGGCGTGCGTGCCTTTGACGCGTAGGGTCAGAGGGGAGGGGAACGTCTTTATAGGGACACGACTCCAGCTCCAGGATCTCTCGACGGAGCACGAACGGACGCCCGAAGTCACCCGAACGACGGTCGGGAACCGTCGGCAGCAGAGAGGGATAAGACACTGGAGCTCTACCTACAGGTTCACAACCTGAGGGTACCTCGGCAGGTACACCCAAAAACCAAGAAGCACCTCCACATACGCAAAGAGAGGGAAAATGGGCTAAGTCGAATAATCTTGGGCAGACCAAGTCGAGCGGGCGCAGACGGCTCTCAACGGGGAATTCCCTCGGTCCTGCTGAGAGGCTTGCAGACTCAAGTGCTCGACTCGGCACTCCCGGCCGAGCAGTGCCAGACACACGCCGACGGCCCAAGTACTTGGCCAGCGGGCAACGAGTGCCACGCCACGAGTGGCAGCCCTAGGCCCTAGGCCGCGAGAGCCACTCGGACGGTCGGTCCGGTCCGATGTCGAGTTGAGCCGATCCGATCCGATCCGATCCGCGTGCGGCGCGGCGCGGCGGCGTGCGCTGGCGGCTGCGGGCTGCGGGCGTTGCTGCAGCCACAGCCGAGTCGAGCCGGGCGTCGCGATCAAGCCCAGCCGAGTCCTGGCTGGTCCTGGTTGCCGGAGCCGGGGCGTGGCCGCAGAGTGGCGGCCGGTGCCCGGTGTGCCCGCCAAGCCGCCAAGGCGGGGCCAGGCTCTGCCCTACCCAGCCCCGCCAGCCGCCAGGCCTGCGCCAGGCCCACCAGGAGGGAGGTGAGCCCGCTCCCCGCGCCCGCGCCCGGCCCGCGCTCTGTGGGCCCGCGCCTCAGTTAGTCCTCAGTCTACTGCGATGTACCGCTGTAAGCACACCTGTTGTCGGCGCGGCTAGCGGCTGGCTCGGTCTGGCTAGCTAGCCGCAGCCTGCCGCAGCACAACTGCCTGTTCCGAACGAACACACCTCCAGGTAAGTCCCCGAAGGACGGCTCCAGGACGTCGAGGTCGCCGTCGAGCACACGACGGCGTCATTTGCAGCGTGCTGGCGTCGAACGGCTCGACGGCGCGGCGGTGCGGCGCGCGCAGGGGACGCACCTGGAGGCAACAACACCATGTGCAGCCGTCTGCCGCCGGGTGGCTGCCTGCCTGCCTGACTGCCTGGCGCTGCAAGGTCCTGCCGTCCTGCCCTGCCCACCTGCCGCTCCAGGAGGGTCCCTATCCAGGACTCGGCGCAGCATCCTCGCCCTCGGCCAGTGTATCGGCCAGCTCAGCGCGCTGCAAATTCTCATACGCTGGGCCTGGCCGGGCTAAGCCAAGCCGCGGCCGCCCACGTCGGGGACCCATTCCGGCCGTCCAGGACCAGCACACGCACCGCTGGCCGCGCTGGCCGTCTAGCAGGACGAGCCCGGACGGGCCGCGACGGGCCGCGACGGGCCGGGCCCACATAGGCCCACACAGCCAGCCTGACACACCGTGAGCCACCGCACAGCATCACGCGGCGCCGCGGCAAGACGCGGCGCACTCTGGTGGAAGGACCAGTCATTAACAGGTGGCCGCGAACCGCCAAGCACCGCGAAGCAACGCCAGGCAGCAGCGCGTCGAAGAAAGTGAATAGGAGCCAAGGTCACCTCGCCGCGGAGGCAGGCAGCAGGACAGCGCACCGCGATGCCACCCTCGTCAACGTCAACCTCAGCCTCGTCACTGACCTCACCAAGTCGACGGCGGTCGCGCAATCTCAGGAGAGTGAGTCGCCGACGAGTCCAGCGGCAACTTTGGCAACAGTGCGGCCCTGGCCAAGGCCCTGGCCGGCCCTGGCCCTTCCCTGCCCCGCCGGACCCTCTCGTCCTTACGGCCGCGGCGGCGCCACCGTGTTCGAACGGCGGCGGCGACCTGGCGGCGGCCGGCGGGCCGTCCCCGGGGGACCATCGCCACCCCCGCCAACCCCCGCCCACCTGGCGGCCACCCTTTGGCGTGACATTTCGCCGCAGTGCTGTTTGCCGTTTGGCGGAGTGCCGCCCTGCAGGGGCACGCCCAGCACGCCCAGCACGGCGTGACGTCACAGCCTTGCCGCGGTGCGACACGTGCCCGGCGTGTCCTTTGCCGGGCCCTGGGCCCTTGCAGTGTGTGCGCAGGGCGCAGGGCGCAGGGCTCGGCGCGGGCCGCAGGGTTTTCGCTTTTTATCGCTATCGCGAGTCGGTGTTGTGTTTGTGACGCGGCGGCGCGCTGCGTGCAAGACCGATAGGCCGGCCTGCAGGCCGTTATCAAAGGGGTCCGTTGTCGCCGTGCGTGTCACACCTGTGAATGGAACGCGTCCGTGACACGTCCGTGACGGCCCTTGGGCGTGACGTGGCCGTGTGACGACGGCGTGACGGACGGGTGACACCGCGGAGAAAGCTCGACTCGGCCGGTGGCGGCGTCGCTGCGGACCTGCGGTCGCCACGGTGATTCTGCGCCTGGAACCTGGAACTGGACAGTTTTCGCCTCGGACTCGCGGAGCGGACTCCGAGGGCCGTTGTCGTTCCATTCCGTTCCGCGACACCGTGCGCTACAGCGCTGGAAGATTCAACAGCGGCGCACCAGCCGCCAACGCGCCAAGCCTGGCCTAGCCTCGCGGCAGGGGTCGCGCACGAGGCCAGGCGCATGCGCTGGGCGGGACCACGCTTTTGTTTCAACGACTTTTGCCTCTGCCCTTCTGCCAAGCCGACGACATGACGACGCGCGGGAAAACAACCTGGCCGTGTTGAACGCGATCCGGTTGCACGGGGTAACGAACTGTCGACCGGGCCAGGACCTATCTGCTCCGGGAAGCAAGCGCAGTTGCGTGGATTCACCCATCGGGTGGAGCACCGGCAGTGGGCTTCTTGAGTGACAACACGGCGTCATGTCATCTGATAGTCGCATCATCAGCAGCTCGCCGTGACGGCCGGCCGGCCGGTGGTTCGTCTCGTCGTTCGCAGAACGCGTCGCGGTTCCTCAGTGCGTGTTCCAGCTGTTGTCCAGTGCTGGAGTGACGGCAGCGTGCTGCCTCAGTGGGGCTGGGTTTTGCATCACAGTTTGTCGCTCTGCCCTGCTCTGTGTAACGCCACGCTCTTGTTCTCGTTCCCCAGGATGGAGACTGTGTACCTGAGGCCTCGCGACCACTACGGCACCGTCGGCAGCCCGGGGGCGGTCCCGGGGGCGGTCGCGGGGGCGGCGATGGGGGCCGCGACGAAGCACGCGACGTTCCCGCGCTCCGCCCGCGCCGATAAGGAGTCGCCCAGGAAGCCGCCGCCGGCGTCCTGCGACTGCTGCCCCTACGGCTACCACATCGACCTGGACTTCGTCCGCTTCTGCGAGCGCCTGTCCGGGGCGGGGGCGTCGTCGCCGTCGCAGAGCGCCACCAAGGCGCGTCGCCGGGAGCGCCGCCGCCAACGCCAGTCCATGGACGTCCTGCTAGGCCTGGTGGCGCCCCCCGAGCAGCCGCAGGTCTGGACCATCGAGCAGACCATGCCGCAGGTGGGTTCCGCGTTCCGCTTCAATCACTTCTAACGCTCGCAACGTTCGCCGGATGCAGACACAAAAGAATGTGGGGGGTCGCCTTGCACTGCCCAGTGCTCCGTCTCTCTCGCACCCCTGCGGGAGAGGCAGCGGCGTAGACGAAAGCGCTAACGGTGTGGCATCAGCCGGCTGGCCGTTGCCGCCGTTGACGTGCTCCTGGCCGCCGCCAAGCCGCCAAGCCTCCATGGGTCAGGCCTCGGGGTCATTTCTGCGGTCGGCCTCCGTGCCGCCGTGGCGTAGGTCAGGAACACAATTCATGGGCCTCGTCGGTCTCGTCGGCCTCGTCCCCCGTCTGGCCGCGGTCTGCCGCGGGCTAGTACACTGGCCGTCCCGTCTGTGCCGCCCCTGGCAGTGCCCCTGGCAGTGCCTCTGGCAGTGCCCCGCAGAACGCGGTCCGCGCGACAACCGTGGCGCGATGTGGCCTGCCGCCTTCTGGAAGCTCCATGTGCAGTGTACCCTACCCAGAGTAGTGCACTATCTCGCCAGCTAGCCGGTCAAAGAGCACGCGCTCCAACAAGTGCACTGGCGACGCGGCGACGCCGAACCGCGGCGCCGGTGTGCCATTCAAGGCCGCATTCCGTAAGTGCATGTCCTCTTGTCACCCGGCCGACTGCCTCGCTGTCTTCCATTCACCCCACTCTTTTTTTCCGCCTCCCGGTGCCCCTTTCCTTTCCCCCTCGCCATTCCGTCTTGTCCAATAGGCGCCCACGCGCGTGGCTGCGAATGATTGGAGCGGTGCGCCAATAACGCGCACTGTTTGGACTGCAGGCCGCCCTCGCTCTCTCTTTCTAACAGGGGCCGCTGTCCACGGGTGCGAGAGAGACAGAGCGACGACCAGACACTGACTGCATGCCCTGCCTGCAGATGCCGCCGTCCCCCGTGTCGCTGCCGCCGCACGCCTCGGTGCTGGTGCGGGACGCGCTGCAGCGCGCGGTGCAGGACTTCGAGGAGGCCCTGGAGCGCTCCAGCCCGGCGCCGGTGTCGCTGTCGCCGATCCCCATGTCGCCGATGCTCATGTCGCCGCTGCCGGCGTCTCCGGGACCGCCGGTGCCGCCGCGCATACCGCCGCGCCGCTACCACATAGGTGAGCCGAGCTTCTGGGGCTCTGGTCTGGTCTAGCCGAGTCCCGGCGTGGCCATGCCTTTTCTGGACGGAGGCTGGAGGAGAAAGACGTCGTCGGCGTGCAGCGGGCCCGGCGCCGCACCGCGGGCCGCTCGCGGAGATACCCCGCGTCGGCTGGACGGAAGTCTCCCCGGCGCGGGGTATCGCCGCTGCCGCGTCGCGGCTCCCGGCGCTGCGCCGCGCGCCGCCGTGTGGGTGTTCCCGTTCGCGCTCGCCCGGACTGCCCCCAGCGCCGCGAAGGTGTGACCACGTGGGAGAGACAGGAAGTAGACTGGAGTGAGTGGACGCCAGTGGGATGCTGGGCAGTTTGGTGCAATCGATGAACAGAAACGACCCAAAGCTGCCTGAACCGCTTGAACAGAATGGCCTTGGTGTTTGACGGCGATCCAAGGGCCAAACGAGCGTGGCCCTGTTCGGAGCAGTCTGCTCCAAGTTCAATTTGACCCCATTCCGCGCCACACAAACGTATCGGTGGTTTAAAGTTTCACAGCCTCGGACAGTCCGATGCCTCTCCGCCACTGCCAACGAAGCTCGGACGTCCTGGCGACGCGGCGACCTACTTCGGCGCAATACCTACACTGCCACGGCGCCACCGCGCCGCGGCATTATGGCCCATCGGAAACCGTTCCCGTAACTCATTCATGCTCGGTAAAGAATCATAGTCGAGTCCTGCTTGCCGCCCCGCCGCCCCCGCACCGCCCCCGCCGCCCCAGCCGCTGTCGCCGCCACGGCCCCGCCATTTCCATCACTAATGGAAAGTTCCCTTCCCCCTCACTGATTGTGTCGCTGCACTGCAATATGGAGCGCGTCCCGATGACCGCGCCGTGGCGAGCCGCGCCTCTCTGGCCGCGCCGCCCGAGTCGGAGGAAGGAGGAATACATCCCGAGACTTATTGAGTTATCGAATCGCCGAATCCGAGTCCGCCGTATTGATCCTCGGCATCCTCGGCGTGCTCGTAAAAGCCGTCGAGGAGGAAAGGCGCAGCGCCACCAGAGTGTTTGTGCGTGCGTGTGTGTGTGTGTGTGTAGTGAGTGAGTGTGAGTGTGTGTGTACGTGTGTGTGTGTGTACGTGTGAGTGTGTGTGCCAGCATGTTTTCCAGCTTCCAGCAGACTCCGGCGCGCTCCAGCAGGGCGACGTCAGTGCGATGCGTTTCAATCGCACATCTTGTGGGGGAGGGGATGTCGGGGGATGCCGGGGGATGGTGTGGGGTGCGTGGGGGAGATGAGAAAACGTTTGTGTTGGCTGTTTGTCTACACCCTGCTCGGCAGTGCTGCGCGCCGCATTGGCACCGCGGACCCTTTTGTCACGGTGTTTTCGGCGTGTTTTTTTCTCGTTTCCTCCCCGTCCCCGGCGGCCCGCCGGTCCTCTCGCGTGTTGGGGTTTATGATGACTAAGCCAAGCCGGCGGCGGGATTTGCGACACGATTTCAATCGGGACCGCGATGGATGGAGGGCGGCCTGCCGTGTCGCCTTCCACCTGCCAGCCGCGCCGTTCCGGAAAGTCGCCGTTTCGTCGCTCTGTCTCTCTCGCACCCTTCCGGGACGCCCCGCGAGTGCGACCGAGACGGAGTGACCCAACTACCCCTCCGAACCGGCCCGCTTCGGCGCCGTCAGCCGTCAGGGCAACTTTGGCAAACAGCGATGTAGTCGGCCCGTTTTCCAGTTAATTCGTGTCGCGAGGCGGGCAGGGCCAGGCTAGCCAGGCCGCCAACCTGCCGCGGTGAGGCGACTTGCGCCGCATGACGGAGCAGCCAGCGATAACCTTGCCAAGGCGCCGAGCACGAAGCGCCCGAACGCGCGGAGAGGTCAGCAGGGGTAGCTGGAGAGGTCAGCAGGGTAGCTGGAGAGGTCAGCAGGGTAGCTGGAGAGGTCTGCGGGGGTAGCCGGAGAGGTCAGCAGGGGTAGCTGGAGAGGTCAGCAGGGTAGCTGGAGAGGTCTGCGGGGGTAGCCGGAGAGGTCAGCAGGGGTAGCTGGAGAGGTCAGCAGGGGTAGCTGGAGAGGTCAGCAGGGGTAGCTGGAGAGGTCAGCAGGGGTAGCTGGAGAGGTCAGCAGGGGTAGCTGGAGAGGCGACGGGGTCAGACGCAGCCAGGGGTAGTTGGAGAGGCCAGAGGGTTTCAGAAGTGACGCTGCAAGCTTGGTGCAAGTCAGATGGCTGTCGGCAGGGGCAGCCAGGGGGTGCATGCGGGGTGGTGCAGCTGGCAGGCCTGGCCGAGGGCCTGGCTAGGCCTGGCAGGCGCGCTGATGGGGTGGCTCGAGGCGGCTGGAGGGCAGGTGGCACGGCCGGCCGGGGGTAGCTGGCTGGAGAGGGGAGCAGGCAGGCAGATCGAACGCGGTGCGATCGTGTGCCCGTGCTCGGTCTGCATGGACCGGCCTGCCTGATTGAATTGTGTTTGTCATGTTGGTAGCCCCGCTAATCCCGCAATCAGTGTGCGCAACACGCCAATTTGGGGATGGCTGACCTGATGGATACACTCTCCACTTCTCCCCTGACGGTGGCTGGCGGTGCTGGCGGTGCTGGCGGTGGCTGGCGCGGTCAGTGGAAGCGGCGGGGACCCTCAAACACACGCGCCGACAGTTAGTTACTATTGTTTGCAGCACCCCACGCACCCCCACAGACCCCACCACCCCCACCACCCCCTGACGGCGCCGTCCCGTCCACCCCCGCCGCCCCGGAGCCACCTATCACCCCAGATTTGGAGTAAACAGCTCGACCGCCCTGGCCGCCCTGGCCGAGGCCCTCATCAGATCAGAGCACGATTACGGCGCGAACCGCCCCGCCCCGCCCCGCCCCGCCTTCCCCGACGTGGCGACGGCGTGTGATCGGCGCAAAGGAATTGCCCATAAGACTCTGCTCGAACAGTAATGGAATCCCCTGGAGGGCCCGGCCGAGGCACAGTGGGCCAGAAGACCGGTGGAGGCGGCCAAAACTCTAGACGCGTTTTGAGCTCCAGAGTCGCTAAATGGGACTCGAACCGAACGTGTGACCCCACCAATGGATTGCTCTTCGAACGAGGAATCCATTGATGGGGTCACACGCTCGGTTCGAGCCCTGTTTAGCGACTCTGAAGCTCAAAACGCGTCTAGAGTTTTGGCCGCCTCCACCGGTCTTCTGGCCCACTGTGCGAGGCCGAGACTGAGGCCGAGGCTGAACTGAGGCCGCGCTACCCTCGGCGCGCTAAGCGCCGCCTTCCACGCCTCGGCCTCGGCCCTGATCACCCGAAGCCCGAAATCCCCCACTTCATTACTGGTCAAAGACGAGACGGAAATAAGGAAAAGAGAAGAAGCGAGAAAAGCCGGAGCTACTTGCAGCCGCCCGAGCAAATAAGCAGAGCTGCACTGCGGCTCTGTGTGTGTGTGTGTCTTCGGTAGTGTTTAAACTCGCCGCGCCGCGCTACGGGAGCCTACACTGCTTACACCCTGCGCATGCGCACAGGTAAACACGAGGAGATTTTGGCGCGAAAAGCAATTAGGCTCGCCTACCTGGCCGTGAGGCGGCGTGACGCGTGTGCGTGATGGGGCATTCATTGCACGCGCACGGCGGCACGGCGGCGAGGTGCCCGAAGTCCTTGTCTCTGTCGCACTCGCGGGGCACCGCGTGAGGGTGCGAGAGAGACAGAGCGACGAAGCGCTCTTCTGCAGCACTCGGCTGCCCCCCCTATCTCGAGGGTCCAGCGGCCTTGTGCCCCCGCCACGAGGCCTCCACGGCCTCCACGGCCTCCTCTAGGCTCGGGTCTTCGCAAACTCACGGTTCAAATATTTGTCGTGTTGAGGCCGGGGCCAGGCCGGGGCCAGGCTAAGCGGAAAGGCCGGCGGGCCCCACGCGCTAAAAACCGTCAAATCCAGCCTCGCTTGGAGATCGTCTCGCCGGTGTTCCCCGAGCAGTCCTGCTTCTACTCCTCCCAGGGTGCCATTAGCGTTATTTTGTGCGTCGTCTGCTGCAAGCGCAACTGGAGCAAATTGTGTTTTGGGGTGGCTCCGGTCCAAACGCTTGTTGCAAATCGTACTCCGTAAGCGTGCGGGTGGTTTTAAGACCTCCTCCTTTCGGACCGGTTCTTCCCCCGATACGTATTCAAGAATCCCTAGAGTCAAGGTGGATGCTTGTCCCGCTGCGTCACTGTCCTCCAGGGACCGCCACGCCCGTGCCTATACACTGCTCGAGACAGCCCACTTACTTACAGTGAGGGTGCGCCGCCGGGGTGCGATCGGTGCGCTCTGCAATTCATCGACCATTCAAAAACGGAATCGGGAAAAGAAATGTTTGTTGTCGCGTGCGTACTTGCGCGCGCGGTCGACACGCCAGTCGGATGCAGCCTGTCGGTGAAACGTATAAACGAGTCCATCGATCAGACGTCGCTTTCGAGTGGAGGAGCAGGGGTTGGCGTGGAGGGCGCGGCACGGCGCGGCACGGCACGGCGGCAGGCCACGGCCTCGCGCACGGTCTCCTTGTCGCACCTAATGAAGCGCGCAGTGCGGGTGACGGAGACGTCATGCTATCGATTCCTATCTGACGAATGAATGGCCTGTGTCGCGCTTTTCGACGAGTCCGCGCCGTGCCGCCACTGTGACGCCGTGCCCCGCGACGCGGCCGACACGGCCACACGACGCACAGTGGGCCAGAAGACCGGTGGAGGCGGCCAAAACTCTAGACGCGTTTTGAGCTCCGGAGTCGCGGAATATGACTCGAACCGAACGTGTGACCCTACCAATGGATTCCTCGTTCGGAGAGCAATCCATTGTTGGGGTCACACGTTCGGTTCGAGTCCCATTTAGTGACGCTGGAGCTCAAAACGCGTCTAGAGTTTCGGCCGCCTCCACCGGTCTTCTGGCCCACTGTGTGACGGCGGCACGGGGGCGACCTCCGCGGGGACCTCCAGCACCAGCAGCGCGTGATTGATTCGCCGATCTAAATGGGATCGTCGCTGTTGTTGCCAAGGTGGCCGCCGAGCACGAGCCAGGCCATCCCCCAGCCTGTCGTGCCAGCCGTCTCTGTCGCGCTCGCGGGGGCGGGGCGTCCCGCAGGAGAGCGAGTGAGACAGAGCGACGAGACAAGATGTACGTACTTCGGTGGGAATCGCTCGGCGGCTACCAACGCCAACCCCGTGCCGAGGCCGAGGCCCACTGTGCAGCCGCGCGTTATTCGTTCTTCGGTTTTATTCCGAATCGAGCGTTCCGCCGAACTCGCCACCCCCGCGCCAAGCCGCGCCTCGCTGGATGAATTCTCTAAATGTTTCCGCGCTGTCACTTTGTTTCATCGAAAACGATTCGGCCGCCAATCAGGTCCGGCCGGATATTGGACGGCTGGAGCCACTGACGCGTGGCGGGGGCGGCGGCGACCCGGTGGCGGAGGGGGCGCACAGTGGGCCAGAAGACGGCGGCGGAGGCGTCCAAAATTGTAGCCGCGTTTTGAGCGCCAGAGTCGCAGAACAGGGCTCGAACCGAATGTGTGACCCCACCAATGGATTGCTCTTCAAACGAGGAATCCATTGGTGGGGTCACACGTCCGGTTCGAGTCCCATTTAGCCACTCTGGAGCTCAAAACGCTGCTAGCATTTTCGGCGCCTCCGCCGGTCTTCTGGCCCACTGTGGGGCGTGTCCAGAGGTTCCAGGCGCCGCCAACGCCGCCACCCCGCCGGGCGTTTTACCGCCCAAAATCACGGCAGCTCCTCCAGCACCCCTGTACTACACTGTGCAGGACGTTCACCCTGCCGCTTGCTCCACCGCTCCACCGCCAACCCGTTCACGTGTTTCTCGCGCCGCCTTTCTGTTCGTGAAGGAAGGAGAGCGGAGGGGAGGGGAGGGGCAAGTAGAGCGCCGCCGGAGTAGTTTGGCGTGTACAATCCCTCAAAACTTGGGACACACTCACACAAACGCAGCTTACGGGTACACACACACACGCGCAGGGAAGCTGGTGCACTGGCATGATGCGGCCTTCGTGTATTCCTTTGCGTTACACGCAATGCTCGCTGCGTCTCTCCCACCTGTCGCCAGCCTGCCGCGCGCATCGCCCCCTTTTCTGTCTTTTCTTCCTTTCCTTGCCTTTGCCGCGCAATGCTCTTCCTGCCCGTGCTCCTCTAGTGCTTTGCTCAGTTCACACCGTAAGTACAATGTAATTCGCTAAGCAGCCCGGGCGTACCGCAACGCCACGCCGCGCCTCGCCTCGCCACGCTGGGGCATTGTGGGGCTGAGACCCTTGTACTGTTCAATGGGGCGGGGCGGGGCGGGGCGGGGCGCGGAGGGGTGGCGGGGGAGTCATTTTAACTTGGACGCGCTAAGCATTTACGGACTCGTGCAGTGCGCAGCCCGAGTGGAACTTAACAGTTTGCCGGCCGGGTTTGTCTTAATTAATTAAGACGTTGTGGCAGTGCAGGCCTGCCACCCTCACGGCCCGCCCCGCCCCGCCCCAGATTAGGGACGGGCGGCCGCGGGCTGCTGCCAACCTGCAAACAGTCGTCGTGTGGGGGAATTTCTTCGGACGTGAGTTGGCAGCAATGCGCGCGCTGCCCCCGGGATTGCCTAATACTGTATACAAGCGTACTGCATGGCCGGCGTGGCCATTGAACAGGGAACGGCGCGCACCTGGGACTGGTACTCGGTCGTACTCGGCCCGTGCCAAGTTGGCAAGTTGGCAGCCGTGCCGCACCGTGTAGTACCACCTATGTCATGTCCCTGCCTCGCTGCGGGAGCGGGTGGGGGGCACTGCGCACCGATTAGCATATTCGCAACAATTCATTGGCAATCGCTCATGAACAAATATCGAGCAATGTGTGCACTGCCGTTCTGTGTGTGTGTGTGTGTGTGTGTGTGTGTGTGTTTGCGTTGGTGGCCCCCCCCCCACTCGGGGCCCGTTCCTTTTTCACTCGGCCTGCTCGTGAGTGCCGTTGTTGCCGTGAATCACCCTGTGAGCATGGAGCCCCGTGGAGGCCGTGGAGGCCGTGGCGAGGCTGTGAGCACTAAATTAATGTTGCAGAGACCATCTCCAGCGGCAGGACTTCCAGTGCGCGTTACCTGGAGCAGGCGCTGGACGCCGGGCTGTGGGCGGCGGCCTCGGAGGCCTCGGACACGACCTGCGCGGCGCCCCAAGCGCCCGCCCTCCAGGTGAGTTTCTCTTGGACGTCTCTCCGAGTCTCTCCTCCTCGGTCTCTCCAAAGCCTTTCCGCGGCCTCTTGAACATCTCTCCAGGGTCTCTACGAATCCCACCCCCGCAAGCCTCTTCAGAATCTCTCTAAAGTCCCTTCGAAATCTGTCTTCTCAAAATCCCTCCCGAACTCGGAACCTCTCCGAAATCTCCTTATAGTCTCTCCGAATTTCTCTCCCGGGTCTCTCCGGCCTCTCCACCCCGACCTTTCCCGGAGCGATGCACCGCAGTAAATTCGGAGCCGGGCAGGGCCATGGCAGCGCAGCGCGCAGCCACTCGTCGGCTTTTAACCTCGCGTCCTATTTTTCATGCCGGCCGCCTGGCAACCGTTTAAATGGCACGGAGCGCGCACTGCTCGGCTCGCTGGAATCTTGACCTCGGAGGAGCAGGGCGGGCAGGGCGGGCAGGTCGGCGCGTGCATAAGTGTGCGCCGTGCTCCGGGCTCCGGGCTGGGTGGCTGCGTGCCGGAAACCGCCGGAAACGCCCCGCCAACGAAATACGACCAGAATGAAAAGTCTCTGGTGGGCGGCGCTGCGGCGCTGGAGCCCCGTGTCGGCCCTGGGTAGGCAGTCCCGGCGACAGGGCTGCGTGCGGACTGCCTACGCGCCGGGCCCTGTGCACAGACCGGCCAAAACTCTAGACGCGTTTTGAGCTCCGGAGTCGCTGAATAGCACTCGAACCGAACGTGTGACCCCACCAATGGATTGCTCTCCGGGCGAGGAGTCGATTGGTGGGGTCACACGTTCGGTTCGAGTCCCATTTAGCGACTCTGGAGCTCAAAACGCGTCCACCGCCTCCACCGGTCTTCTGGCCCACTGTGCGATGGTCGATTTACACGGCGCTTGGACGTGTCGAACGGAGTGCCCGGCTGCTCTCCATAGTGCCACCCCGCTGCCACCGCACTGTGAACGGCGCCGCCACTGGAAAGCCAAGCCGGAGCCGATCCCACATTAAATCACTCTGCAATGACCACTTTATTGAATGAGATACGTCCCCTCTCCAGGCCGGGGCTTTTAGCGAAAGCAGACGACACATTGATCGCCCCTCCCCGTCCCCGCCCCTCTCGCCATAAGGCTTTATGCATTAACAGTGCGGCATAAAGAAGGTCCGCGTGTGGCGGCGCGGCGTGCGGGTGACGCTAGCAGCGACGCAGCGCGATGGCCCATTGCTCCGCGCCGATGGAAGACCAGTGATTTTTCCATCGTCATAATTAGGTTATGCCCGCGCCCCCGCCCCCGCAGTTACACTCCCCTCTGCCTTCCCCCTCCCCCACGGCCCCACGGCCCCACGGCCCGGGCATCAAATTAATCGGTCTTACGCCGAACGCTAATCCAGTCGTGCACGCTACGCCGCGCTACGCCGCGCCACGCCGCGGAGCAAAACAACAAGTGCCAGAGGCAGCACGAGTTCTCCGGCGGGGTCATTGGGTCCCTCGGCTCGCCGTGTCGGTCCGCTCCAAAGAAACGCCGCGCGCAGAGATTTATAAAAAAGGGAAAAAAAAGAAGGGAGCATTACTCTAATTTGGCAACGTTCTGCTGCTACGGTTTTTTTCCCTTCCGGGTTGCGCGTGGCGTTTCGAAAAAAAAATCGTGGAAAAAATTTAATGGAAGGCAGCGCGGGGGAATATTTTGTTTGGTTGGCAGCAATGCGGGCAGGTTGCGTGGCCGACTGGCCGCGTGGCTGAGGCCGCGTGGCCTGTGTTACAGTGTATCGGGGAGCTGGGTTCGGTGGGTTTGGTTTGGATCGGCTGTCCCGCGCCGCGGTAATGGGATGAGCACGGCTGGAAATGGATTTAGCGGATTTCGAAAAACAGCTCCAAGTGATCGGACTCGGCCGTCGAGCACGCAACGCGCGGACACGCCAGCCCGTCAGCTTCAATTACGCAAAACGAAAACAGAAACAGAAAAAACAAAGTGTTGGCGAGGCGAGCGCTGTTTGACTGACTGGCACGGGCTGGCTGGCACGGCACGCTTGATCTTCGACTCTCGTCTTGATCTCGATCTCGTTGTGCTTGCAGAACATCCGGCAGCAGATTGCGCGCAGCCTGGAGCGGATGCGCGAGCTGGAGGAGGAGGTGAAGATGATCCCCGTGCTGCAGGTGCAGCTGTCCGTGCTGCAGGAGGAGAAGCGCAAGATGCTGCTGCACCTCAAGACGCGCGGCGACGCGCCGCCCAGGCCGCAGCACGGCCTCAAGCAGAACGGTGAGGAAGCTATGGGGGAGTTTACGGGTGTGCTGGAATTGTCTCAACTGATTCATTTCTTTCGGGGCAGGTGTGTCCTACCTTGACGTGCTGAAGATCGAGGAGCCGGTGGTCGCGGCGGCCCCGGGCGACGTGCGGGTGCCTCCAGCGGGCGCCGCGACGCCGACGCAGCCGTGCGGCCAGGACGCCGTCAACGGGGAGGTGTCGCCGCGGCGGCGCGGCGTGCTGACGAGGGACGTGGCCGTGGGCTGCACCGTCATCACCAGGGACGTCGGCGTCATGCCGCCGCCACCGCGACTCCGGACCGTCGGCGTCGGCACGGACCGGCCGTCGCCGCCGCCCTCGCCGCGGCTGTCGCTGTCCGCTACGTGGACCGAGGACATCCCCCAGGTGCCGGCGCGCACCGCGGCCCGCGGCGTGCAGACGACGCCCGCGGCCGCGGCGTCGACGCGCGGGTGCCAGACCGACGCCGAGCCGCTGCCGCCGCCCCCGCCGCCCACGCCGGCTCGCAAGGAGACGCGCGACACGGGCGTGCAGGTGCAGCCCACCCCCGTGCAGCGCACGCACGCGGGCGTCACGGCGCGGCCCGCCACCGCGGACGCGGGCGTCTCGTGCGTGGCCAAGACGAGGGACGCGGCCTCGTCGGACCACACCGTCGACGGCGAGGTGTGCGCCAAGTGCAGCGTGAGGAAGCGCAGCATCGGCGTGGAGACGGAGGCCACGACGCCCAGGGACGACGCGGACGCCGCGGACGCCAAGCGCGTCTGCCTCAGCGCCCTGGGCGCCGTGCCCGCGGACGCCCCGGACGCCCCGGCCGCCCCGGCCGTGGAGGCCGCGCCAGCCAAACCGCGCACTCGCACGGTGGGTTGCGGCACCGCGGGCGAGCGCATCAACCCCTTCTCCGTGAACCGCGCCGTCAACACAGACCCGCCCGTCGTGGCGGTCGCCATCCACCGCGGCGTCAACACGGACCCCGCACCCGCGCCCGTCAAGCCCACCACCGTGTCCAGGGCCACCCTCGCCGACGTGCGCGCGCCCACCAGCTCGCGGGCCACCAACACGGACGCGAGGACGCCGACGGCGAGCAGGGCCACCAACACCGAGGGCGTGCATCGCCGCGACGCCGGCACGGCCACCGCGCGGAGGCAGCTCGTGGACGCGGGCGTCACCTGCAGCCTCCCGACGACGCCCACCGCCACGCCGCCGCGGACCGCCGACAAGCCCGCCGACGAGCTGCGTGCCACCACGCCGTCGCCCGCCCTGCACCCGCAGTCCCGCATCCCCAGGCCCAGCTCCACCACGCCGCAGACGTCCCCGGGGCCGCCGCCCAGGCGGCAGTTCAAGAGGCAGGACACGTACACTTAAGGAGCCCGCCGCGGCGCCCCTCCCCGTCGTCGACATCACCAACAAGGCCGCGCCGCCGCGGAAGGAGAAGGAGGCCGCGAGCCGGTAAGTTGGGCCTCCCTTAGGCCTCGGCCCGCCCCGCCCCGCCCCGCCCCGCCCCGCCCCGCCCCGCCGGCTGTCGGTCTGGTGATGAATGCGAGGCCTTTGCTCGCGCTGAATAGCGGGCTGTGATCTCGAGGCAGCCAGGCGAGCCATTGGGTCGGTTCCGAACCGGGTCGCTCGTCTCTCTCTCCATCCCCCACGCGCCGTGCGGGACGCCCCATGAGAGCGAGAGAGACGGAGCGACCGGCCTGCTGGCGAGCCAGGCGCGCGGCGAGGCCTACCCGGCCAGGCGCGGCGCGGCGCTGATCGCTGAGTTATAGGAAGGGGGCGCGATAGCCGGGAGTATTGTCGTTTTGGGGTTCGGAATGAGCGCGGGGCCGCGGGGGCGGTGAGACGAGGATGCCGGTGAGGCGGCCAAGGGGAGGGGGAGGGGGGCCTCGGCCAGGAACCGGAAGCACGCCCCCGCGCGGCGGAAGAGAGAGAGAGAGGATCGCCGGAAAAAGTTGTCTTGCCGGGATTTTGTGCGATCCTAAACCCAGGCCTCACGCAGAGCTGATTTAATTTGACTTCCGGCTCGGGATTTTTGCCGTCCAGGGAGCGTGTTGCCAATGCGTGTAGCTTGGACAAGTCCCGCGCCCCGCGCCGCGCCGCCCCACGCCGTGCCTTTTTAGGTGCAAATGACCCGAACGACGTGTGGGCCATTCACGGCGAATGGTGAACTGGCCCGCTGCCCATACGGCACGACGCCTTGGGTCTGGCCCCGGCGGGCCTCGTGGATCTGCAGGCTGATTCCGAGGACTTTCGTCGCTCTGTCTCTCTCGCACTCGCGGCGCGTCCCGGAAGGGTGCGAGAGAGACAGAGCGACGAAACGAGTCTCCGGAACGGCCGCGCTGGTCGCACGGTTCATCGGCCGCGACGGTCTTGCCCAGCCCGGCCCGGCCGCGCGATGGCTTGGAAATGAGCGAAATTGGCCGAAATTATTATCGGTGGCCGCAGCGCGCTGCTAGGCGCGTCGCCGCGTCGCCCTGGAAAGGGATGGCCTCGGAAAAACGCGAAACGGCCGAGAATGCTCCTGCTCCCGCCATTGCACCGACCGCGCGGAAATATTCGAAAACGCTCCACTGTAAGAGGAAAAGTCGCTCCGGAGACTCACCTGCGGTGCCGGCCGTGCGAGGCAGCCGTGCCAGGCAAACGGGCCACGTTATTATTCTATTGGCCAATAATCGGTGGCGGCGCGTGGGGCGTTTCACGCTTTGATCCTGAGGCTTGCTTCCCTTTGGGCTGCCTAGCCAGCCCGGCAGCCTCCAGCCATCGGAGAACCATCCCCTTCTCTCCCTTCCCTTCCCTTCCCTTCCCTTCCCTTCTCTTCCATCCCTGCCGTAGCGCTGCTCCAGGCCGGGTGGAAGCTGGAAGCTGCTGCGCCGGTCAAAAGCCACTCACCGTGTGTGTGCAGTGAAGACAAGGGGAGGGGGCTCTGGAGGGGTAGGGCCGATTCACCGTCCAAAAGCGCGAGAGCCGCTGCCTCCACACCACCGTGGCCCCACTGCGAGCTGCGCGCCGCGTCTCTCTCTCTCTCTCTCTCTCTCTCTCTCTCTCTCTCTCTCTCTCTCTCTCTCTCTCTCTCCCTCCCTCCCTCTCTACTCTCTGTCTCTCTCTTTGGCCGTGGCGCGCACGTCGAATGACCCGCTGTGATTGACAGCAACAGGGTCCGATTGTCATCGCTTCGCCGTGACGTGTCGCAGCAGTCTCTCTCTCCCCCCCCCTCTCTCTCTCTCTGTCTCTGTCTCTCCCTCTCGTCCCCCGCCCCTTTCTCCGTCTTTGCGAACGGCCATTAGTGCGGGGCGGGGCCGGCGGGGCTTTCGGGAATCGAAAGTGACGCTGTTTCCCAACTCGAAAGCGGCAAACCGGCAAAGCGGCGAAGCGGCCGGACCCATCCCACGCACCGACTGACGCACAACACGGCGGGGCTGCATGACTGCGCTGCTCCGAGGCCCCGAGTCGCGGAGACGTGTACAGCGACGAACAACGTCGCATTGAAACAACGACCTGGATTTCCAAAGTAAATGAGCGGCACAAAAGCACGTTTGCGTGAAAAACGAAAAACAGGAAGGAAACGGATTACAATTCTAATGCGCGGCCCGCGGGTGAGGCGAGCCGAGGCGAACCCCGTCCTGTTCGCAGCGTAGGCCGTCCGGCGGCAGCGCCGCGTCCGGGACGGCCTACCCGCCAGGCGCTCGCTGGCCTTAAAGTGCCCCGTGTTCGAGTCACTGGCTCGTAAGGGACAGGTGACGAAGTCAGTCCTGCAGGACTTCGGTCCCTGCGATCGATGTGCGTCTCTACCCCGCGACTCGGAGAGAGCGCGGGGTATGTCCGCCTGGGTGCACCTGGCCGTGCCATTGTCTCGTCTTGACCCGAAGGCCGAACTCCTCCGGGGCGGGTCGGGTTCCTCATCACTCGTCCCGAGGGCGGCGCCGCGGTGCCGCGATGCCCACCAATCAGCAGCGAGGCGATTCGGAATCGAGCGCGGTCTCAATTTTTTGCCGCCGTAATTCTGAGTCGGGTAGCGGTACTCGAACCCGCGGACGGGACGGACGGCGGCCAGACGCACGCGAGAGACGGTCGCCCAAAAAAAACATGTCCGGACGAACTTCCGGCGGGCTGGCCCAGGCAGGCCCAGGCGGGCCCGCGACTGGGGGGCGCCATGTGTTGTTTCCGACGCGATCCGATCGTTTTTTCGACGCCCCGCCGCTGCCTCGGTGCCTCGGCCAAGAGAAAGGGATGCATTCTTTCTCAAACCAAATCAACTTTCCGGGTCAATGTGGAGTTTTGGCCTCCCAATTTTTTCATCAAGAGGCCCTCACTAGGAGAGACTCCCTGTAAAATATTTTTGCAATCGGACCAATAGTTTGGGAGAAAAGACAAAAAACCTTTTTCACCCTTTTAGCGCAATTTAAGGTTGAAAAATTTCAAAGTGCCAAAATGCTGCAAAATTTAAAGGTCCCACTTCCCCAATGCTTTTCTTATTTGAAAAAGCATATTAAAAAGTAATTTTGAGCCACTTTGGAGTCAGCTGACTTACGTTTTACCCCAACGTGTAACATTATGGGAAATTTTACGAAATTTTTCATTTCTCAAATACTCCGACTCAGAACTGGACCGAATCAGGCCCAAAGCACCCTTTATATAGCCCTAAGTAATATCCCAAGTAGTCGTCAAAAATATATTTCATTTGTGGTTTCTGGAGCTGACTTTATAATCTTAAGTCTTTGTAACTCGATAAATTTAAAACTGTTTTGGACTCAGATGCATATTTTCTCCATCCGAACAACTCAGATGGAGCTCAAAACAGATTCATAACTTAAAGAACTTTCTCTCTTGTAAATGAGCCCAAACCACCTGGAGGAAGGGGTCAAAATTGCCTCACAACAAATTCCACGCTTTCCGGCAAATTTTCCCAAAATGTTACTCGATTAGGGTAACGCTTTAACAGCTGCCTCCAATATGGCTTTGGGCATAGCAAAAAAAGCATCAAAAATCTGTCTTTTGATAAAAGCAATTACATGACCACCAGAAGAAAACAAGGTAATTTATAGTAAGTGGTTCCCCTCTGAAAAAAATCATTTCCAGCATAAGGTAAAGGGTCTGTCTCATCAGATAAACATTATTTTTTTTGGTGTTCATTTTATTTCTTTTATCCAAAAACAGATTTTTTATGTTTTTGCTATGTCAAAAACCACATTGGAGGCAGCTGACTTTAAGCGTTTTCCCTAATCGAGTAACATTTTAGGAATTTTGCCGGAAAGCAGTGGAATTTTTTGTGAGGGAAATTTTTACCCCTTCCCCCAGGTGGTTTGGGCTCATTTACAAAAAAGAGAAAGTTTCTTGAAGTTAAGAATCTGTTTTGAGCTCCATCTGAGTTGTTCGGATGGAGAAAATATGCATCTGAGTCCAAAACAGTTAATTCATCGAGTTTCAAAGACTTTAAAATTATAAAGTCAGCTCCAGAATCCACAAATGAAATATATTTTTTACGACTACTTGGGATATTTTCTTAGGGCTATATAGGATGCTTTGGGCCTGATTCGGTCCAGTTCTGAGTCGGAGTATTTGAGAAATGAAAATTGCGTTTAAAAATTTCCCATAATGTTACACGATTGGGGTAACACGTAAAGTCAGCTGACTCCAAAGTGGCTCAAAATTACTTTTTAATATGCTTTTTTAAATAAGAAAAGCATTGGGGAAGTGGGACCTTAATTTAGCAGCATTTTGGGACTTTGAAATTTTTCAACCTTAAATTGCGCTAAAAAGGGTGAAAATGGTTTTTTGTCATTTTCTCCCAAACTATTGGTCCGATTGGGAAAAAAATTTTACAGGGAGTCTTCCTAGTGAGGGCCTCTTTATGAAAAAAATTTGGGCTGCCTAGCCAGCCCGGCAGCCTCCAGCCATCGGAGAACCATCCCCTTCTCTCCCTTCCCTTCCCTTCCCTTCCCTTCCCTTCCCTTCCCTTCCATCCCTGCCGTAGCGCTGCTCCAGGCCGGGTGGAAGCTGGAAGCTGCTGCGCCGGTCAAAAGCCACTCACCGTGTGTGTGCAGTGAAGACAAGGGGAGGGGGCTCTGGAGGGGTAGGGCCGATTCACCGTCCAAAAGCGCGAGAGCCGCTGCCTCCACACCACCGTGGCCCCACGGCGAGCTGCGCGCCGCGTCTCTCTCTCTCTCTCTCTCTCTCTCTCTCTCTCTCTCTCTCTCTCTCTCTCTCTCCCTCCTCCTCTCTACTCTCTGTCTCTCTCTTTGGCCGTGGCGCGCACGTCGAATGACCCGCTGTGATTGACAGCAACAGGGTCCGATTGTCATCGCTTCGCCGTGACGTGTCGCAGCAGTCTCTCTCTCTCTCTCCCCCCCCTCTCTCTCTCTCTCTCTCTCTCTCTCTCTCTCTGTCTCTCTCTCTCTCCCTCTCGTCCCCCGCCCCTTTCTCCGTCTTTGCGAACGGCCATTAGTGCGGGGCGGGGCTTTCGGGAATCGAAAGTGACGCTGTTTCCCAACTCGAAAGCGGCAAAGCGGCAAAGCGGCGAAGCGGCCGGACCCATCCCACGCACCGACTGACGCACAACACGGCGGGGCTGCATGACTGCGCTGCTCCGAGGCCCCGAGTCGCGGAGACGTGTACAGCGACGAACAACGTCAAACAACGACCTGGATTTCCAAAGTAAAGGAGCGGCACAAAAGCATGTTTGCGTGAAAAACGAAAAACAGGAAGGAAACGGATTACAATTCTAATGCGCGGCCCGCGGGTGAGGCGAGGCGAGGCGAACCCCGTCCTGTTCGCAGCGTAGGCCGTCCCGGCGGCAGCGCCGCGTCCGGGACGGCCTACCCGCCAGGCGCTCGCTGGCCTTAAAGTGCCCCGTGTTCGAGTCACTGGCTCGCAAGGGACAGGTGACGAAGTCAGTCCTGCAGGACTTCGGTCCCTGCGATCGATGTGCGTCTCTACCCCGCGACTCGGAGAGAGCGCGGGGTATGTCCGCCTGGGTGCGCCTGGCCGTGCCATTGTCTCGTCTTGACCCGAAGGCCGAACTCCTCCGGGTCGGGTCGGGTCGGGTTCCTCATCACTCGTCCCGAGGGCGGCGCCGCGGCGCCCACCAATCAGCAGCGAGGCGATTTGGAATCGAGCGCGGTCTCAATTTTTTGCCGCCGTAATTCTGAGTCGGGTAGCGGTACTCGAACCCGCGGACGGGACGGACGGCGGCCAGACGCACGCGAGAGACGGTCGCCCAGAAAAAACATGTCCGAGACGAACTTCCGGCGGGCTGGCCCAGGCAGGCCCAGGCAGGCCCGCGACTGGGGGGCGCCATGTGTTGTTTCCGACGCGATCCGATCGTTTGTTCGACGTCCAGCCGCTGCCTCGGTGCCTCGGCCAAGAGAAAGGGTCCTTGTGTTTGGCGAGCGCCCCGCCCCGCCCCGCCCCGCCCCGCCCCGCCCCTCCCAGGGCTGCTGCCTTTGAGTCTTTAGGATGCTGCTCTAGATTTTATTGCCCCCGTGCCGGCCGTCCTGTCCCCGGCCGCGCCGCGTCCATGACATCTGCAATCGTGAAAGGCGCCTCGGCGCGCACCGACGACGCTCCGCCGTTCGCGCCGCGCCGCCCACCTGTAAATAGGTTGTTTTAGTGCCGAGGCGTGGCGCTGGGGAGGGGGAGGGGGAGGCGCGCGCTGCGTCGCGCTGCGTCGCTCTGCATTGGCGCGCGTTTCATGCAATTTACGTTGTTTGGCGCAGGAAATTGCCCGGGGCGGAAGCGACGCCGTCGACGACAACGACGGCGACGGCGACGACGACGAAGCGGCAGCCGGCAGCCGGCGGCGCGCGCCACCTGGAGCACCACAACGAGTCCGAGGAGGAGAACGCGCGGCCCGAGGACGGCGACGGCGACAGCGACAACGACGAGCAGCGGCCCCGCTTCGAGCCCATCCGCACCGAGCCGCGGATAAAGTGAGTACACTGTGGCCGACCACGCCCCGGGCGGATCCGGTTCGCGGACAACCAGTGTGGCGCCGCCGCACAGTGGGCCAGACAACCGGCGGCCAAAATTCTAGACGCGTTTTGAGCTCCAGAGTCGCTGAACGGGACTCGAAGCGAACGTGTGACCCCACCAATGGATTGCTCTCCGAACGAGGAATCCATTGGTGGGGTCGCAGGATCGGTTTCTCGGAAAATTTCAAGACACATGTGGGTGGGCCGCTGCTGCGATTCCCCTTACGGAAACGCGGCAAGATTTCTCAAGTTCGGCCAAGAATTTTCATTTATTATACGAAAACATTGGCGCGCGCGCGGGCGGGCTGCTCGTTGTCTGCCGGTGTGTTCCGCCCTAATAACCCTCGCGCACCCCCGCGGCCTCAACCTCCCCCTGCCCGCCAACCCCTCCCCTCCGCCGCCCCTGGCGCCCCTGGCCCGTTGGACATTCTTGCGTTCCTTTCTCGCCTCAGTGTGGGGGGCACGCTGCATGAAATTAAGCCCCCCCTCCGTAATTAAGGCCCCCCCTCACCCCCCGGGGCGTGCCAGCCTACCCCGTGTCGTGCCCCGGGCAAGCACTGAAGCAGGCCGGGACGGCCGGGACGGCGTGCGCGGGGCGGTGTGGTGTGGTGAGGCGGTGGCGCGCGGCCCGGTGGCGTTTTCGCGACCCTATTCTTCGTCGCCACGCTCGGTTTGGCTTGGCAGCGCGGCAGTGCGCGGCAGTGCGCGGCAGACGATCCGAAAAGGAAAGGGGTTCCCGTTCCGGCAGTGCAGCTTAGCAGTGTGTCGAGTGAGTGCGCGCTGCTGCCCCCAGGAGGTAGGCCAGCCTCTGTCTCTCTCACTCTCTCTGCGGGTGGACGCCGAGCGCTGCTGCTTTTCTCTCTCGCACTCGTTGAGCACGGCGCAAGGTTGAGAGAGACAGAGCGACGAAAAGACTTGCGGTGGAGATAATCTCGGGGCTGTCTACCTTCACGGGGCGTTGGGCTGACCGCCTGCCCGGCTCTGCTCTGAATCCGGAACCTCCCCCCACTAGTCCTTCTCGTGGGGGTTAAAACGGTGTCTTTCACACCACGTGTGACCCGGAAGGTATTTCGGTGCCGCCAGCGCCAGGCCGGGACAGCAGGTCGCCCGGCCGGGCCGACCTCTGTGGCCTGTGGCGCCTGTGGCCACTGGCGGACGGCTGGATCAGCCGCTGGTGGATTAGCCACCGGCGGATTAGCCAGTTAGCCAGCAGCCCCCGTGGACGCCGGCCAATTTCTCTGTCTCCCTCCCTCTCCCTCCCTCTCCCCGCCCCTCCCCGGTCAGGTGTGGGTGGGAATCAGGGCGCCAACTACCGCGGCCCAATGCTCGCTCCGTTTGGCCCGTTAGGGCCCCTCTCGTTGTTGTTGGACTTGTTGTTGTTGGCGGGGCGGGGGGTGCGCGAGCTTTTGTGGCACCCTGTCACGATGATGGAACTGGCGACGGCTGGCCAGGGAAGGGTCAACTTCATTCTCAAGATATGTGATCCGTCCCCCTCTCTTTCTCTCTCTCTCCCCCTCTCCCTTGCCTCTCCCTCTCCCCCCGCCGGTGTGATGTCACCCCGCGCCCAGTGTAGCTCCTCCTGGCAGGCAGGCCCCGCCTGGCCCTGCAGGGGGGCCGGCCCGTGGCAATCTGCGGCCAAACTGGTCATAGCAAACCGACCCTCATTCCGAGCGGGGACGTCCCAGGGCAGCCCAGGGCAGCCCGACCACCGCGGCAATGAAACTCCGCCGTATCTCGCGTGCCCGTCGGGGCCCGTCGGGGACTTGAGCGAAGCGCAAAGCCACGCCGAAGCCAAGCACCGCACCGAGCGTCCGGTTTCGGTTTGCCGCGCTTCAGAAAAGCGTACTGTCGCGCGAAGGAGGCGAGGTGACGCCGACGGGGACGGGGGTCGTCCGTCCTCCGCTTCTAGAGTCTCCAGGACTCTCCGGGGAGCCGCCGGGCTGTCGGCTGTCCCGGCCGCATGTCTAGATGGCGCATGTTTGCGAGTTTTGTCGCGACAGCTCCAGCGCAATCGATGGCGGGCGAGCGGACGGACGAGCAGGCAGGCGCGAAAAAATTTCGAGGGGTCGCGGCGAGGTGGTTGGGGTCACCTGGAGTCGCGGCTGTTTCCCGGCTGGCAGAATTGTTCAAAACGGTCGAAAATGCCTTTGAAAACTCGTGTTTTAGGCCTCTTTTAAGCAGCAACTGCGTCTTATCCGAGGCGGTATTTCGTCCTCCCTCAGCGGGCATTTGGTCTTTGGACCTTCCTTTAGCATGCCTTTGTTACGGAGTGCGATTATCGGCCTTAGTTTGGGAGCAGTATTGTCTCAAAGTGGATCAAAATGGCATTCAAAGGCATTTTTTACTGTTTTCATCAACTTTGAGACAATACAGCTCCCAAACTAAAGGAGATAATCACACTCCGTAAGAAAGGCACGCTAAAGGAAGCTCCAAAGACCAAATGCCCGTTGAGGGAGGACGAAATACCGCCTCGGATCAGACGCAAAGGCTGCTTAAAGTCGGCCCAAAACACGATTTTTAAAAGACATTTGTGGCCGTTTTGATCAACTTTGCGGCAATACTGCTCCCAAACTATGGCAGATAATCACACTCCGTAACAAAGGCATGCTAAAGGAGGGGTCGCGTGGGGTCGCGAAATCTTTCCTGGGGGTCGCGGAAATTTTTTGTTACAAATTTGGGGTCGCGAACCGAAGGTTGGGAACCGCTGTTCTAGTTCCTCCTTGCCGATACTACAGATGATGGCATTGCGCGTGATACTGTTGCAGGTCGGAGCCGTCCAAGGAGATGCGCGCCGCGCTCAAAGTTCTGGACGACCATCTGCAGCTGCGGGAGACGCCACCCTCGGCGCGCGCCGGCGCCGTGCCGCAGGAGCTGCGCAACGCCTTCAACGTCGTGCAGCTGGAGTGGTTCAAGGTAACGGCGGTAACAGCGGTAACAGGTGCAGGGCTAAGCCGGGGAGGCGGGCGAAGCGGGCGGAGCGGCCGAGCCTACCCGCCGCAGAGTGGCGGGGTGGCGGGAGGCTCGCCGAGTGAATAATTAACTTTGACAAACTTTTCAAGGCGGCCCGGTGGGCGCACTATATGCGTAGGGGTTGGAGCCCGGCGGCCCGGCCCTGCGGCCCAGCCTTGAGCCAGGCCTGCCAGACACCGCCTGGCCGGGCCGCATTCATCAAATTTCCTGCCACCCTTGGCGAGCCAGCCGCGGCAGCCCGGATGAAAAATTATTCCCCGCCGCGGGAAAGTTTTAAATTTTATTTTAAAAACCGTGCGGGAAAAAGCCAACAATTTTACCCGAGTTTTTTTCTAAATCGACGTCGACACCAGTAACTTTGCTCGCAAATCGCGTTTCAGGAGGGGTGACGGGACGTCGCCTGTCACGAGGCGGGAATTTTCCCTCTCGGTGGCGGGAAATATCCCCGGCGGGGCTGCGCCTGGCTACGCCGGTCCATTCTGTCGTCGTCCGAGTTAGTTTTTAAAGCGAACACCCCCGCGGTCTAATGGGCGGTGGCAGTTTGGGGCGCTTACCCCATCATCATCATCATCATCATCATTGCCGTCTCTCTCCCTCCCTCTTCCTTCGCGTGTCTCTCCCTCTCTCTGTCTCTCTCTCTCTCCTTGGCCGCCCGGGCGCCCTAAAGACGTCGTCACGCACACTGCCGTGTCGCGCTGCCCTACCGACTGATTCCGCACAGCGCTTCGTCGCTCTGTCTCTCTCGCACCGACTCGGCAATCCACGCGAGTGCGAGAGAGACAGCGACGACGGCGATGCTCGGAATCGGAGTGCCATGGCGGAGTGCCAGCCTGCAGGCTGCCCCGCGTCGGCGCCTTTCCGATTGCGTTCATTCGTGCCAGTGACTAGGCCACTGACAGCGCCGCGACTGTTGCGCACGACGGCGGAGTCGGGTCGTGCTTCGGCCTGTTTTTGCCTGCTTCTCCCTGCTTTTGCCTACGCCAGCCGCCAAAGGCCGCCGAGCCGAAGGCAAGCACAGGCAATGAGTCTTGCAGCAGGAAGTTTGCCATCTGCATGTTTCTCTCCATTTAGCGCGCTCTCCGTCGCACCCCTCTTGCATGCAGACCCCCCCCCCCCTCTTTTGCCCCGTTTCCGCACTCGATATGAATCGCTTAGAGACGCCTCGGCGTCACAACGTCACAGCGCGTCGCGCCGCGGATTTGTCAACCCCCCGCGAACATCGCTCTATTACCCTCACCGCCGGCGGGCCGATGCCGAGCGGGGCAGTCTGTCTCTCTCGCACCCCGCGCAACGCCGGCAGCGCCCCACGGGAGCGAGAGAGATGGAGCGACCGTCTGCACCGCCCAGAAATACGCTGCTCGTGCGTCATGGGGATGTTGTTGTGGACGCGGCGCGGCGCGGGATGCGAATACATTTGCTTTGCATTAGGCCATTCGGCCGCAGCAGGCTTTGCGCTGTTCGCTGCGCAGCGAGTCAGAAGAGTCGTCGCTCTGTCTCTGTCGCACTCGCGCGGCTCGCCGTAGGGGTGCGAGAGAGACAGAGCGACCAGCCGACCTTCCGGATCGCTCGGCTGTCCGCTCTTCGGGGACGCGACTTTGTCATTTTCGTTGTGGTGGCGACGGGGGACGTTTGATTTCGGGGAACAGCTTGCAAAAAAATGTTAAATGGATGCAAATGAATAAAGAGGTACGGTATAAAAAGAACCTACCACGCCAAAATATATGTTCAGTATGAATTTTTAAAGAAATTCTACCCGATTTCTCAATTATCTAGGGACAGCTTTGAAACAACCTACAGCGTGTCAATCGTTTCAATCGACCGTCTGCCTCTCCCCCGAGTGTGTTGTTGATTCAGATATAATGACTGCAGTGCGATGCGGTGTGTATACACTTCGTACGACTCCACCTACAGCACTCCGTTTCGTGTCGGCAGGTATCGAGCACCAAATCGGCCGACCCGCTCGAGGTGGAAGATTACCTGGACTACTTCGAGTTCAAATCGACCGGCCTGCTGGAGTATGTCATCAACATGACGGACAACAGCGTAAGTACTCTCACGCGTGGAAGCGGGAAGCTCGAAGCGGCACAATCGATGTCTCGAGCGAGTCGATACTGGACTGTGAGTGTGACCCTCGTGTAGTGTAGTTAGCGATGAAGGCTTGTCACTCAAGATAAGTGGGACACGCGATTGCGATTCATTTTTTAAAGTGTGGGACACGCCACCAGAGGGGTTCACGTTGTTGGGGCGTCAGCTCATTTTTTCCCCTCCGACTTTCCGACTTCCGCTGCCGTTTGACCTTTTTCTAGTCGGGCCTACGACTTTTTAAAATTAAAAATATAACTTTCAAAATGCCATTTTTTTATATTTTCTACGTGTTTTCGGCGCGCTTGCAGACTTTATCTGTTCCAAGCTGTCCGATTCACTGTGGGAGGCGGCTGTGGCAATTCTACCGTCTCACTTGGCAGGGTGTACTCTGGAAGTGCTTCCTGTGTTTTTATCACCGCTGGGTATCGATCCCGGGCTGCTCGTTTGCGCTGCCCCGCTGGCTGGGTCAGGTAGCCGGGGTAGCCAGGTGTCATTGCGTGCTCAGCCGTGTTTAGCCAATTGACTAACGTGCGCCCCATTTTGGCTAATGCTTCATCCATCATCTGATCGGGCGCCCGGCCGGCCGGGTCTCGGCCCTGCCGGAGGCGTGCTGGAGGCGTGCTGGAGGCAGGCTCTGGAGATTAAGATTAGGGATTAAGAGGGCGGTAGGAGGGCCAAGGGCTAGAAGGGCTAGGACCCTTGCCCGGGCCCACGAACTGCAGGGACTGCAAGTGGGCGGCCAAAATTCTAGACGCGCTCCAGAATCGCTAAATGGGTCACGAACCGAACGTGTGACCCCACCAATGGATTGCTCTCCGAACGAGGAATCCATTGATGGGGTCACACGCTCGATTCGAGTCCTGGTTAGCCACTTTGGCGTCGCTGTCACTACTGAATTTTTAGTCGGGCTGCCCCTTCCCTCCCCCTGCCCCTCCCCGAAAACCTCGGTCCTGTTCTCCTCGGCGCCGTAGTTACCTATGTAACCACAGTGACCTGGCGGCGCTTTCTTTCGGAATATCGGTACTACGACTTGGCTGGCCCGGCAGCTTATTTGCAAATTGAGGTACGCCACGCCGTGCCACGCCGCGCCACCGCCCCTAACGCTTTCGCCCCCGCCAGGCCGGCAGGCCGCCACTCAAGTCGGGATGGCAACTCATGCAAATTCCTGGCGTTTGATGGTCAGCAGCAGCCCAGTCTTGGTCGCAAAGTCCTGCCGGCCTGCGGGGGAGGGGAGGGGGGGGGGCGCAAAGGCAGGCAGGCAGGGGTTGGCCGGCGGTCAGCGCTGCTTTTCCACGAGTCCGACTGTCCGACCGCCCAACTGTCCGACTGCCACAAATAGGGATGGGTGTGGCGCCCCGGCCGCCCCGGCTGCCTCGCAGTGGAATGCGGCGTCCCGACCTCCGACCTTTATCCACTCACACGCTCCGGGCAGCGCTGTCTCTCTCGCACTCGTGGCGCGTCCCGCGGGGGTGCGAGAGAGACAGAGAGAGCGCCGTTCGGAGGCAGCGCGCTGCCTGCCCGCTGCGAGGCCGCGCCGTGTGGGTGGCCTACCCGCCGTCCCGCAGGCGCTAGCCGTCCGCGCGCACCGCAGGAAAAAAACAACGACAAAAAAACGAGCCGCGGACACGGGTATTTGAACCCACGGTCATTACACTGATGGCGTTTTTATCTGATTCTCTCTCCAGGGCAACACGGCCATGCACTACGCGGTGTCGCACGGCAACTTCGACGTGGTGTCGGTGCTGCTGGACTCCAAGGTGTGCAACGTGGACATCATGAACACGGCTGGCTACACGGCCGTCATGCTGGTGTCGCTGGCGCAGATCCGCACCGAGACCCACCGCCACGTGGTGCGGAGGCTGTTCCACCTGTCCGACGTCAACTCCCGCGCCAAGCAGGTAAGCGTCTGTCTCTCTCGCACCCCTGCGGCCCTGCGGCGCGGCCCGTGAGTGCGAGGGAGATGCAGCGACTCGGCCCGGCCGTTCCCACCGCGTGTCCGCGCGTGTGAAGCCATGTCATTTTTCGCCCGATTTTACTCTCGGCGTCGTGCGGCCGCTGAGGCCGCCTCGCCGGTTCGTCGCCTGGCTCTCTAATTAGGGCCTAGTCGTGCACGCGGAGTGCGCGGAGCTCGAGGTGGGCCTGCTGTGCGGGCAGCGACTGCACTGCGTCCTCCACTCCACGGCACTGCTACGCCGCGCTCTGTCTCTCTCGCTCTCATGGGGCGTCCCGCTGCGGTGCGAGAGAGACAGACACACCCGACAGGCACGGCGAGGAGGGGAGTGCATGGCAGGTTCCAGTAGATTTTCATCCCCGTGTGAGTGTGAGCGTGTGGAGTCGAGCGCTGCTGGCTCGCTGGCCGGGGCCCCGGCAGCAGCCCTGGCCTGCCCGAGCTGTGGGCACATAAAGTGTCAGCAGAGGGACCCGTTTCGTTTTGCCTTGCAAAATTAGAGCGGCCGGGCCGAGGGCCGGGCGACAGCCGAGGGAGAAGGGAGACCGGGCACCGGCCGGGCACCGGGCAGCCCTCCTTGAAACTTGACTTGCCACTGTCATACTCCACAACGCATATTGCCCGCCCCGCCGCTCCACTGTAAAGTTATCAGCGCACAGTGGGCCAGAAGACCGGCGGAGGCGGCCAAAATCCAGGACGCGCTTTTGAGCTCCAGAGTCGCTTAGTGGGACTCGAACCGAACGTGTGACCCCACCAATGGATTGCTCTCCGAACGAGGAATCCATTGGTGTGGTCACACGCTAGGTTCGTGTCCTGTTTAGCGACTCGGGAGCTCGAAACGCGTCTAGAGTTTTGGCCGCCTCCACCGGTCTTCTGGCCCACTGTGCGACGGCCTCTCTACTGTAAAGTTATCTTCGCGCGGCGCGTGTCGCTTCGATCGGCCGGATAAACTTTTCAGCCCTATTTTGCCTTTAGTCGGCTAATGGAATGTGTCGCGTGAGTGGCCGGGAAAGTGGGGGGGGGGAGTGGCGTCATTGAAATAGTTGAATAGTTGATGGGCAGTGGGCAGCCGTCGGCCGCGGTGTGGCCGTGAGGCGGAGCGGGGCTGCAGGGCGGCACCTTGAGTTTGCGAGAGGGCGGTGTGTTGCCCAGGGCATGCCTGGCCGTGCCCAGGGCTCTGAGGGTTTACTGCCGTTGCTGCCCTGCCGCCCCATCCTTCGGCCTGCACCTGACCTGGCCGGCACGGCACGGCACGGCACGGCACGGCGGCAGGGCGTGCGCGGGTGCGGCTATGCCGGGTGCCGGGCTATGCCGGGCTATGCCCCAAGTTTGTGGCGGCGCTTGTCCACTACGCTCAAGTTGCGATGGTTTGGGGGCGGGGTGGGGGTGGAGTTATCGGCGGTCGGGGTGGCGGCACTGTGCCGGCACTGTGCTGGCCGTGGGAACGTTGTCATTCGCCGTGTCGACGTGGCCTCGCTCACCCCGTCCGCCCCGCTGCAGGCCCTGGCCGTGGCCGCGCCGTGGCGCTGCGGCGGCGGCCTCCAGATGACGGTATGCCACCCAGAAGGCGCGGTGCCACCGCCCCGCCCCGCCCCGCCCCGCCCCGCCCCCCGCCCCGCCCCGCCCCCCGCCGCCCGCCCCGCCCCCCCTCGCCCCCGCCCCGCCCCCCGCCCCGCCCCGCCCCGCCCCGCCCCGCCCCCCGCCCCGCCCCAGGCAGCAATTGAAATGGCCTGTACAATGGAAGATGAAATACGGCGTGCGGTGCCGCGCTGGAGTCGCTGGAGTCTCGCTGGAGACTCCCTGGAATTTCACAGGCATGTTCCCGGCCGGAGCGCTGGAGCCATGCTTGCTTGGAGTCCTCTCGTTGTTCGAACTTTGCCGCGCAGCCTCCACGTGGCTACACTTTTCGGAGCGGTTTCGCTTTCGAGACGCATTTTCGAAGTGGATTTTTTTCGGAGTCTCTCTTGCAATTGTTTGAGAGTCAACCGGGTCTACGCTGCTGGAGCAGGACTTTGTTGAGTCTCACTGCGACCTTCCAGGGGCCTCGCTGGAATACTTTCCTGGAGTCCCTGTGGCGACCCACTGCACTGCAAGTATGCTGGAGTGGCGCTGGAGTCCGGCTGCCTCCAGTGACCGCTGCGGCGCTGCCACCGCCACCGCCACCGCCTTGCTGAGTGACGTTCTGACGTTGAGATCGCGCGCGGCAAGCAAGGCGAGTCAAGGCCGCGCGGAACAGCACGCCGCGGTATCGCAATGTCGCCGCGGCACCGTACGCCACCGCGCGCCACCGTGAGAAACTGGGTCACTTTTCCAATCGCCTGAAAAAAGGCGGGCGGTGAGGCCGCTTTGTCCAGCGCGCCATTATGACTTCCACCTTATGTTTCTCGCCTTGCCGCGCGCCTCGCCGCGCCTTGGCCGTGCTGGCCGTGTTGGCCGGCGCGCCGTGAGTGCCGTGAGTGGTGCGGACTGCTGATCGATACCACTCGTCTCGGCTCGGCTCTGGCTGCGTTGTCCGGCGCGGCTGGGCACGCGCAGCGACCTGCTCGGCTCGCATCCCTTTACTTCTCGCGGGTCAATGTCACTGCCGACAATGTGCCAGCCAGCCAGCCAGCCGGGCTGCCAGGGCTGCCTGCCTCGCCAGCCCGCACTTCACTTGGCATGTCGGCACTTTCCATGTCAGACGCCTGCAGCCCCGCAGCCCGGCGCGGCCAGCGCAGCACAGCCCGTTTAAAAAAGATCGTGCCGAGAATGTGTCGAAATGATGTCGAAATGATGCCGAAGTGTCCGGCATGCCCTGAATGATGCCTAAATGCGCTCGGCAAGCCCGAAATCCACCCGCCGCCGGCACGCGGCAAGCCCGAAATGAGCCCCGGTGTCGCGGGCGGCCCGGAATCGTACCGCGACCCCGACCGCTGCCCGGCCGGGTGGATTTCGGGCGTGCCCGTGCCTTTCGGCATGATTCCGGGCATGCCTGGGCATGCGCCCCGCATCGAGACCCTAATCAAAGAAGTGTCAAGTTAATGTCTTTGACCTGCGTACAAAATTGAAAAGTTAAAATAGTGAAATTCTCTCTTAAGTACCAAGTCTATCAAAACCGGCGTGAAAAATTAGAAAATTCCGTGCAAACGAGATGTTTGTAGGACAATTTTTAATTCTTTGACTGAACAAATCTACAATCAAATTGAACACTTTGATACGGGTACTTGAATGAATGCAGTTGAATCCGTTGAGCTTCTGATGCTTAACAGCCTTAGCAGTAACTGTAGCTTGCATCCTAGTCTATAGGGCTCTCAATAAAATGAGCCGCGGGGCAAGGGTACTTCGAGTACGTGGATTATAAGGAAGCGAAGAACCGGGTTTGCGTGTAAGAGCCAGCACCCCAATAACCGGGTTTGGGAGCCTCAGACCTGGGTTTCCAGTGGGCCTGGATCCGCGGGTTGACTACCACACGCAGTGCTCCAGTACCTACGCTCACGTTCACTAAGTCTGTTGTTAGATCCAAGTGCCCAGTTCAACCCACGCACCTTGTCCAAAAGTCGAGGGGCTCTCCGCGAGTAACCCAAGAGTCTCGCGGGGGTTACGTATTCGTCAAGACACAGGGCTCGCCGCGTGCTCCTCCGCCAGCAGCGTGTCTCCCCCGCCCCCTCCAGTGCCGCTCGGGGTCGAGCGAGCTCGCTGGAAGGCATCGGGAGCCTGAGGCCTCCTCCCCAGGTCTCCTCCGTGGTGCAGTTGGCAGCGTCTCGGTCCACAAAGACGGTCGTCCTGGGTTCCAATACTAACCAGTGTTTCTCCTTCAGCTTTCTGTGTACGTGTGTGTGTATGTGAGTGTGTAAATGTGAGCCTGTGTGTGTACGAGTGTGCCTGTGTGCGAGACTGAATGGGCACCGCCATCCAGGTACCTCCCCCTCCCCTGCAGCTTAATGGGAGGGACGGTTCGGCACGTTTTCGGCATGCCCGGCAAGCGTCCGGCATTGCCGAAAATCGGTTTGTTTTCCAACAAAATGATCATTTTTCGGCAAGCCCGGACTCCTGGTTCGGGGCGGATTTCGGGCGTGCCGGCCGGGCATGCCCGAAATCCTGCCGTCATCCGGCACGATTTCGGGCAAGATCATTTTTAAACGGGAGTGGGCCAGAAGACCGGTGGAGGCGGCCAAAACTCCAGACGCGTTTCGAGCTCCAGAGTCGCTAAATGGGACTCGAACCGAACGTGTGACCCCACCAATGGATTGCTCTCCGAACGAGGAATCCATTGGTGGGGTCACACGTTCGGTTCGAGCCCTGTTTAGCGACTTTGCAGCTCAAAACTCGTCTAGGGCTTTGGCCGCCTCTACCGGGCCCACTGTGCGCAGCCTGCATGGCGGAGGCGGCCAGGCGGCCAGCCGGGCTGGCAATCGCGTATCTCGGCGCCGAGGCCGCGGCAGGTACGGCCCCGCGTCGCGAAGCGTCGCCGGAGAGCGGCTCTCTGCGCAAGGACACAGCCTCATGTCACCTCGCGCCGCGCCCCGCCCCGCCCCGCCACGCCAGGCCACGCCAGGCCGCGCAAGAGCAGCGCAAAACGGTGTCGACGGGGTAAATCGCTCAGCGCGCCGCCACGCCGCCTCGTGCTCCACCAGGCAGGCCAAGCTCCAGGGCGGGCTCCAGGCCGGGCTGCCACCCCCGTACCGGGCTTAGCGTCAGGAACAGCACACGTCCATGTATCCCCCGCAGCACTCCCCCTGCCCGCCAGCCCGCCCGGCTGCCTGCCGGCTTGATCCCCTTCCCTTCTCCGCGTGCATTTCCCTGCCTGGCTGCCCTGCAGGCTGACTCTGAACAGCGCTTCGCCACTCTGTCTCTCTCGCACTCAAGGGGCGGTCTGCAGGTGTGCGAGAGAGACAGAGCGCTGTGCGGAATCAGCCCCCTGCCTCGCTGTCCTCCTCTACCTTCCGCGTTACTCGCTCCACCTGTTCCATCTATTTTAAAATGGGGGAATTTATGCGGTGAGGTACACTAGGGAGTTTCACCACCATGCCGCTGCACTCGACAGCGATTCTGTAAATCGCTCCCGCGCGGCGTGCGAGGCGGGAAAAAGAGGCGGGACGGGGCAGCGTCGAACCGGCGACCTTGCGGTCAGGGAGCTAGTGCGCTACGCGTGCGGCTACGGAAGGTGACTCACTTCGGGCGACCGCCGGGACTACAATGGCGTACGTGGCGACGACGGCGACCCACAAAAAGTTTTCGCCACGGGTATTTGAACCTCCGACTCTGTTGTTGCAGCACGGGCAGACGGCGCTGATGCTGGCGGTGTCGCACGGCCGCCTGGACACGGTGCGCCTGCTGCTGGAGGCCGGCGCCGACGTCAACATCCAGGACGAGGACGGCAGCACGGCGCTCATGTGCGCCGCGGAGCACGGCCACCTGGACATCATCAAGATCCTCCTGTCGCAGGCCGACTGCGACGTCACCGTCGTTGACCACGTAAGTGTACTCCCTGGGATGACCCAAAAAGCAGCAGAGCGGTCCAGTCCAAATTCGCGTCACAGTGGCTCGAAATCCCGCACCAAAACAGTCGGTTTAGCGTGGACCCATTTTAGTAGCAAAGTCGAAAAGTCGAGCCTGTCGCAAAAAGACCCTGCGCCGGTCCTAAAAAAAGAAATCCCGGTGCGGATTGTGTCGGGAATCGAACCCGGGCCCGCAGGATGGAGCGGCGTGGTGCCAACTTCGACACGCGGGCTAACCGCGAACAAAACGCGCCCATAAAGCACGGCGCGTTCGATAAGATTTTCATTGGGATTGCTGAAAGGTTTTCTTTGTGCGTCTGTCTCTCTCGCTCCCCAAACGCGAAGCGTGTGTGTGAGGGAGAGGGAGAGGGGGAGAGAGAGAGAGAGAGAGGGAGAGAGAGAGAGAGAGAGAGAGAGAGAGAGAGAGAGAGAGAGAGAGAGAGAGAGAGAGAGAGAGAGAGAGAGAGAGAGAGAGCCCTTTGAGGGAATGAAAGAGTGCGGCGCCCCTTGCGCGCTTGCGCATTGTGTCACGTGATTTCGCCGGCCACGCTTCATGTAAAACAGAGGCAGGCGATGGTTTCCGCGTCCGCGATAGACAAGGCCGCTCGTGTGCTGCTTCCATCCCCCATCCCCCCCCCTCCGCTTTTTCCCGCCGGTTTTGATGTCGCTGTGAATCAGGGCCTTGTGGAGCCGGCCCTTTGACGGACCCCCTCACTTCGTTCCCCTCTCTCTCTTTTCATCGAGAAAAAAGCAAAATAAAAAGTCGGCCGCATAAAACGTAAAATAAAACTGTTGGGGGCAGGCTGCACCGCAGCAGTGACAACAGAGGCTGTGCTGTGCTGGGCCGTTAGGCCGTTGTTGGCTACTCTGTGAAAAAGAAAATGCCTCCGGGAAAGTGGAAAGCGAGCTCCGCTTTCATCATTGATGTCGAAACACTCGCGCGGCTTTGCTGGTGCACTGGAACATGCCAGTGATCTGGCCTCGCCGCTCCGCCCCCTCCGCATAGCACGTCAGCATCCCCTGACCTCTGCGCCTCAAAGTCAAAATCCCTCCCCTCTGCCGCCCCCGGCCGCCCCCGGCCGCCCCCGGCCGTCGCCGCCCCCGCAGGCAGGCAGGCGGGCAGCATCCCGGCGTCGCTCTGTCTCTCTCGCACGCGTCCGGCAAGTCCGGCAGGGGTGCGAGAGAGACAGACGGCCCGTCGAAGCTTGCCGAAGCGGGGAGGCTCGGCTCGTCCGTGGTCGATCCTGCCATTACCAGGACAATCACTCGCAGGCCGGAGTGCACTCCTGGCTCGGTAAATCAGCGAGCCAGCCGGCCAGCCGTCCGCGGGGCGACTCTGTTACCGGCCACAATCGCCCACACTGTGCCACACGCCACTTGACTACCGTCTCTCTCGCACCCCCGCGGGACGCCCCGCGAGGGAGTGAGACGGGAAGTGCGGAATGCGACCGCCGCGGCGCCAGGCCTGGGGGTGCGTCGTGCCGGGACACGCCTTGAACACACCCTCCTGGAACACACCCTCCTGGAACACGAAACTAAAAGGGCGTCCGTAGTAACCCAGTGTGAAGCGGGCCGAAACGGCTCTCTCGGCACATCCTGCAGGGTTCCTCGTAAAGTGAGCTGAAGGAAAAGGAAACACACTCGCACGCCCCCGTCCGCGAGGCCGCACGCCCGTATTAGCACCCACACAGTGGGCAAGAATACCGGAGGCGGCCAAAATTCGAGACGCGGTTGATAGCTCCAGAGTCGCTAAACAGGACTCGAACCGAGCGTGTGCCCCCACCAATGGGTTTCTCGTTCGAAGAGCATGGTGGGGTCACACGTTCGGTTCGAGTCCCATTCAGCGACTCTGGAGCTCAAAACGCGTCTAGAATTTTGTCCGCCTCCGGTCTTCTGGTCCACTGTGCCCCGGCCCGGGTTCGAATACCGGTTGTTGCGTTCTCTTCGACCCTCTTTTGCCCCCGGAGGGTGTTGCCGCCGGACGGGCTGCGCCGTGTTGTACACGGGTCTGCTCGCCCCCGATAACGTGGCGGGCGCGCCTCGCGTGGTGGCGCTCGCAGCACCCCGCCTCACCAAGTGCACCGAGCAGGCCAAGCTCCACGCCGTGGTACGTAGCGCGCCACGCGGCCGGGGTGCATAAATTTCACAATAAGCTCGGGCGGCGAGGCAGGCGGCGGGGCGCCGGGCGTGGTTGAGCCCCGTTGAGGTAGGCAACACGATAGCGGCGTGGCCGTCGTGCCGCCCGTCTAGCGAGTCTCGCGAGTCTTGCGGCCACACTGTCGTGCCGTGTTCGTGTTCCTGGAACTGGCCGGCCGAAACTATTGCCCCGCCACTGGCATTTCGCACTGCGGGTGCTCCGGGCGCTTCGGGCGCTTCGGGCGCGAAGCGCGCCGGCCTGCCGCGGACCGATGCCGAAGGGTGCTTGCCTCTCTCGCACCCCAACGGGACGCCCCCGCGAGTGCGAGAGGGACAGACCGCTGTTTGGAACGGGCCGCCGCTGTAGTAGTACGAGCTGCTGACCCTGACGGCCAACCTCCTCGACCCTCACCGCCCCCCTCGGGGCTGTACTGTGCATTGCACCCCAGGCGGCCCGGAGGGGCGGATTTAGAGTGACTCTGTGTGTGTGTGCGTGTGTGTGTGCGTGTGCCCGTGTCAGAGTGCGTGCCTGTGTTGGTGCAGGGGGAGTGTGACTGGTGGTCTGGATAACAAGTCAGCACTCCCTCGCCCCGTACCGCCCTGTTCCGCCCCTGGCTGAGGAAGATGCATGAGGGGGAGTGAGCGAGGCGATGTGCACTGAGCAGCGCCGGCCAGCCCGCGATTCCGTCTCTCTCGCACTCACGGGGCGTCTGCGCGGGTGCGAGAGAGACAGTGCACTGTCGGAGTCGTGCTGCGCGCGGCCTGAGTGATCCGAGGGCGTGGGCGTCCGCCTCGGCGTTCGCTAGTCCGCTGCCACCGGACTGAATAATACAGTGTCGAACAGTTGGAAACCTCTTGGAAAAACAAATGGAAGGGCCGGGAGTTTTGGTGTCCTTTTGGCCGGCCCTCCTGCTGGAGGACGCCCACGCACAGTGGGCCGGAAGACCGGTGGAGGCGGCCAAAACTCAAGACGCGTTTTGAGCTCCAGAGTCGCTAAATGGGACCCGAACCGAACGTGTGACCCCACCAATGGATTGCTCTCCGAACGAGGAATCCATTGGTGGGGTCACACGTTCGGTTCGAGCCCAATTGAGCGACTCTGGCGGTCAAAACGCGTCCGGGCGATTTTGGCCGCCTCCACAGGCCTTCTGGCCCACTGTGCCACGCCACGCCGGCCAGTGTGTGCTTGCAGCGACTCGAAGCGACTCGAAGCGGAAGTGTGAAGTGGGTGTGATAATAGTGGCCGAATTCAAGGAAGTGGTCCCCCGGTCCGGGACTCTGGGTCTCGGGCGGTCTCGGGTCCCTGTGCTAACAGCTTCATCATACAGCGGCGCTGCGTCTGTGGCGCTGCAGGTGCGCGTCGTCCCGTCCAACTCGTGCCGGACTCGTGGAGGCGGCGGGAAAAAAAGAGGGAAGAGACAGAGAAAACAACTGTCCCGCGGGGGCAAAGTGTCCGAGCACGTAACAACTGGCATTGCTGCTGGGGCTTTAGCTGCGGAGGGAAAAGTTTGCAATTGGGAAGAAATGTGGCGGGCCTCACGTCAACGCGGGGAAAACCGGGAAAACGCTCCAGCAACTCGTCTGCCTGACCGCCATGGTCGCAGAATGCAAATGCAAGTCCAGCAAGCTCGTAACGCCAGTCCTCGTCGCTCTCGAGGGCCGCCAGTGAGTGCGAGAGAGACGGGTAGCCCTGCTGCCCCGCTAGTGCTTATTTTTGCAGGGCGTACGCGCCTCCCGCCCTTTTTTCTCATTTTCCGGTGGCCGGGGCTGCGCGGGCTGCCCTTTCTTCCACGCTGGCGATCTTGCAAAGCACGGGGATTTATTTTAAGACACCAAAGAGATAGCCAGCCTGTTTTCCTGCAGCAGCAGCACCGAGCCGCGCACAGTGGGCCAGAAGGCCGGTGGAGGTGGCCAACATTCTAGACCCATTTTGAGCTCCAGAGCCGCTAAATGGCACTCGAACCGAACGTGTGACCCCACCAATGGATTGCTCTCCGAACGAGGAATCCATTGGTGGGGTCACACTTTCGGTTCGAGTCCTAGTTAGCGACTCTGGGGCTCAAAACGCGTCCAGAGTTTTGGCCGCCTCCATCGGTCTTCTGGCCCACTGTGCGCCGGGCCGTGCGGTTCAAGCGGGAGAGTGTCCCGGTGTCTCGTCGCAGGCCCCAACAATTTCGCCTTCTTTTCCTCCCCTTTCCGGGCGAAACTTTGGCAAACGGCCTGACTAACCGGGCGGGCTCGGCCCGAACGGAAGCCTGCAGCCGGGAGGGTCACCGCCCGGATCTTAATTTGCATAAATGAGCTTGTTAGATGGGCCCGCCTGGCCCGCCCCGTTCGCCCCGGTCACCCTGCTGACTGGGATGAAATTCGACCTTCGTTGACCCCTTCCCCCTCCCCCGCCTCACCCTCGGTCACAATTTATGACCGCCCCCTTCATCGAGTCGAATGGAACCACGCGACCCGGTAACCCTAAACAAAGCCGGGCGGCCGTGCCGTGTTCAACACACAGTATTTGTCTCGCGCGCGTCGAGTCCAGGAACACACCCTGGAGCGCCTCGGGGCGGGCGCCTCCGCGAATCCGACCGCGTGCAGGCGGAGCGCCGAAGCGCATCGCGAACGTACCCAATCGGCAGCGCCGTCAGCGCCGTCAGGCGGTCGAAAAGAGGGAGGGGAATTAAAAAGCGATTTGGCGCGTGTTCGCGTGCATCCCAATAAAGCTTGTCCACGGCGCTGATGTGCTCCCGAGGCGCACTGCTTCCCGACGGCGTCTCTGTCTCTCTCGCACTCACGCGAGACGCCCCACGAGTGCGAGAGAGACAGAGCGACGACAGCACACTGTTCGGAGTCGGCCTGCGCGGCGCTGCACCCCCGGGGCTCGGCGGCACGGGGGCCAAGTCGAGCCCCGCCCTGCACGCTGCTTCCGATTCTAGTCGCGCCGTCTCTCTCGCACTCGCGGCCCGCGCCGCAGGCGTGCGAGAGAGAGGGCGCGACAGTTCGCAGCCGGCCTGGTGCGCGCTAATGTGAAAGCCCCTGCACCTCGCCCTGCCCTGCGCCCTGCACGGCCCTGCACGGCCTCGGGCCACTCGCCCGGTCGGCACCTACGGCGGTACAGCCGGTACAGCAGGCCCAGCGACAAGGCCTCCGTCTCTCTCGCACCCACACGGGGCGCCCCACGAGTGTGTGTGTGTGTGTGTGTGTGAGAGAGAGAGAGAGAGAGAGAGAGAGCACTGCCGCCCCACTGCATTACACAGCGTGATGGGTGCGGCATTATCGGCGTCCATCTGGATGGTGGCCGCGCAGCGCCAAGCCGCGCCAAGGGGCTGGCAGCGCTGCATTGCCACCCTGGTGACCTTCGTGACCTCCCCACCGTGTTCGACCCCGCGGGGGGCACCGCGACCCGCGACTCTCCTCGCGAGCCCCCGCGTTGGCGCGGAGGCGGTTGCGTTCGGGGGCCACTCCCTCGGCCGCCGAGAGTCCGCGGTCCGCGCCGCTTTTATCGCATGACTGGCCTTTGTTCTGTTCGCGCCTCGACACCTGCCCGAACCCAGGCGCGGATCCAAGGGGGGGGCGATGGGGGCGTCGCCCCCCCCTGAAGGCGGCGAAGCCGCCTGAAAGGTAGGCAAAAAGTAGCACATACCCCTGTAGGTAGGCAACTTTCGCGACGGTCGCCCCCCCTGAACCCGTCCCTGGATCCGCCCTTGCCCGAACCAGCCTTTCGTCGCTCTGTCTCTCTCGCGCCCGCACGGGGAGGGACCCCTCGGAGTCCGCTGCTGGCCGGCGCGGTTGCGCCGCTATGTAGAGCACTCTGCCGGCCGGCCTGACTCGGCCTGGCTGTCGGTGCGAGCCAGCCGGTGTCATTGAGCGTACGGACTTATCATTCCGAGAGTCGTTTTCGTCGCTCTGCCGCTCTCGCACTCATGGGGCGTCCCCTGTGGATGCGAGAGAGACTGAAACGACTCTCAGTCTGCTGGACTGCGCGATGGCGGCAAGCCCGGCACGCCGGCGTGGCTTGACGGTTCTGACGTTCTGACACGCGGGACGGCGAGCGGCGAGCGCGGGACTCCAGCAAGCAGTGCTGCCAGCACTGCGCCGCCAGCGCCGCGCTCGAACCTCTTGTGATGAAAGTGTTATTGTCTGGCTGTTGTTGGCAGTACTGGCTCTGACGTACGTACTGCTGCGCGATCCGCCAAGGGAGCGATCCTTCCACATATACGGCCCGGCAGCGAGGGGGCGGCGCTGGGGGCGGCGGGGGGGCGGCGGGGGGCGGAGGCAGTACATGGCAGTTTATTTGGCCGACTCTATTGTCGAGTGAGTCAGAGAGTCGCACATACCTCCTTCGGACAGCGGAGGCGAGCGGCCCGGGGAAGGGTGGCGCCTCTCTCTCTCTCTCTCTCTCTCTCTCTCTCTCTCTCTCTCTCTCTCTCTCTCTGTCGCTTCCAGCAGCTGCGCGTCTGCTTCGGCTTATTCTGGCCTGGAACGTTCTCATAATTGTCGAGAAATTTCTGCCCCCGCCCCCTCCCCCGGTGAGGCGCGGCCTCCCCTGTCGCCCCAGGAATGCCGTGCCGGCCAGCAACGGCAAATGAAATTTTTCCGCAATTTCTCAGAAGTTTGAGGAGTCCCCGGCGGTCCGGAAAAGAATGACAGGACTAGCGGGCCGGGCAACTTCAGCAGGCCGGCACGAACGTAACGCGTTGTGTGTTTTGTTTTTCGAAAGTGTTTGAACGGTGATGTTCGCTTGTTGCAGGACGGCAGCACGGCGCTGAGCATCGCCATGGAGGCCGGGCACCGCGACATCGGCGTGTTGCTGTACGCGCAGGAGCACTTCCTGAGGGGCAGCTCGCCCTACAACTCGCTCAAGATGCGGCGCGCGCGCAGCACCACACCGACGTCCAGGCCGCTGTCCGGACCGCCGAGCACGCCGCCGCCACACCGCAAGGCCGCCACCGGCGCCACCACCGCCTCGGCGCCCAACACCTTGCCCAGGAGCAAGCCCTAACAAACAAACGCCCTTCTTAACAACATCCTGGACAACTTCTTGTTCTCTTTACTGTGCTGCTTCCATCGAAAAATTACTTAACCATTTTGTCCAACTGTGCGTAAAGTACTAGAGCGCCAACTGCGTCCCCGCGCGCCTTTAGCTCCCGACCGAACCGTGTCAAAATTTTAATTTGGTTCCAGCAACAGTTTTGTACCCACTGTGTCGCTCGTCGCGACCACATCCTAACGCTAAGCAGGCCGCTACTAACGCACCAACGGCCATCACATCCCCCCCCCAACTAATCCCAGTTAACACGTTACCAGAATGTAGCAGCGCTAAACCCAAGACTTATGTAATAAAAGACTTATTTTATGTATTTATTACCCGTGTCTCCTTTTATTCTCCTTTTGCTTTCCTTCCACTCTCAGAGCACCTTCACGCTCACAATACTTTTCGGGGCGGGCTGCGAAACCAATCACAAAATACGAAATTGAGAATGGCAATTTAAGATTTCACATATTTCCTACAAAGATTGAGAAGGGGGAAAACGTAAAGAAGTGCTGGGATTCGAACGCCAGTCCTCAGACTTGGGCCTTTGAAATGCTCCACGCCATGGCTGCCGGCTGCGCGGTGGAGGCGGCGCGAAGTTATCGAAGTGCCGTAAGTCTGCGCAGTGCGGCGCAGTGCGTGTCGGGGACACTGTCGGGGACACCACACCAGGCACACCTCGAGAGACAATGGTCCGCCATGACGTCCATGACGGACTGCAGGCTCCACACGAGCATGCGCTGTGGAATGTGCTTGGCTGAGCCTCGGCTGGGCTTACACTGCTTACCGCTACACACCGGCCGCCCCCAGGGATTGTTCCAGACGGCTCATTTACCTTCCTAACACTCAACAACTCGTGAAGTTCAAATCGACATGAATTTGTCTTTACTCATTTTGAGACCAGAAAGGGCTTCATCCTTCAGCCTCTAGCCAGGAATAACTTCCCGTTTGAAAAAGAACAGTTCGCGCTACAGAGTCGCTCAACAGGACTCAAACGCAGAGTGTGACGCCACCAATCGAGTCCTCGTTCGGAGAGCAATCCATTGGTGGAGTCACACGTTCGGTTCGAGTCCCATTTAGCGACTCTGGAGCTCAAAACGCGTCTAGAATTTCGGCCGCCTCCACCGGTCTTCTGGCAGGCTCGGACTGGCCCCCAAAAGGCCCCAGCAGATAAGACCGCAAAAGGCCCCCGATCATCATTGTTTTTACCCTTCATGACCAACTTTGTGAGGCTGCCGCTCCCACACAAGTTGCGGTCAATAGCCTTCCCGTACAGGACATGAAAGACTAGGGTCTTAAGAATTCTAGGGCGTCGAGGGAGGCCTTTTACGGCAACTAGATTGGACACAGTGGACACCCAAAGTCAGCAAAATCAGCAAATTTCCGATATTCGACTACTTTTTGACCAACTTGGTCGGAAAATCATTGCGGTCAAAGGCAAAATCGTTGTGGTCAACGTCTTCCCTATACAGGGCATGAAAGAGTAGGGTCTTGAGAATACTAGGACGTTGAGGGAGGCCTTTTACGGCAACTAGATTGGACACAGTGGCCGCCCAAAGTCAGCAAAATCAGCAAATTTCCGAGATTCGACCACTTTTTGACCAACTTTGGTCCCTAAATCGTTGCGGTCAAAGGCAAAATCGTTGTGGTCAACGTCTTCCCGATACAGGGCATGAAAGAGTAGGGTCTTAAGAATACTAGGACGTCGAGGGAGGCCGTTGGCCGCTACTAGATCGAAGCAGTGGCCGCTCAAATTCAGCGAAAACGGCTACTTTCGGAGATTCAATCACTTTTTGACCAACTTCGTGACGTTACTGGTCACAAATCCAAAGGCCCCGGCAGATTTTTCTGCCTGTCTGCCCTGGCCAGTCCGAGCCTGTCTTCTGGCCCACTGTGTGGTCCGGCCCGCCGCCTGGGCCTGTCCAGCGCCACGATGGCGGGCACGGTGACAATCGCACCATCTTAATAAGCGAGATTAACTACGGGCGTAACTAATACAAAATAAATATTTCTCCAGCCAACAGTCCATGAAAGTAATTAATTTGGCCTCTCCCCGTGGCCGCGCGGCTTAGTGGACAGCATCCCTCCCCCTCGCCCTCACCCCTCCCCGCCCGCAGTCTTGCCGCCCCGCATGTTCCCACACGCGTCTGTCGCCGCTCGCGTCCTCAAATTTCGCCCAATCGGCGTACTGCTGCTACTGCGAACCGCTCTCCCTCTCTCTCTCCTCCCCCCCCCCCCCCCCCCCCCCCTCCGCGGGCTGTGGGCCGCGCCATGCGTGCGAGCGAGACAGAGCGACAGGGCTCAGCCTGCAGATTCCCGGGCATTCTTCACGTGTGGGCTGGAATCCGTCTCGTCAGCTGGAATAATAGTGCACTCCAGCGCGTTCCAGCATCAGCCAGGGTTCGTCTCCAGCATTGGCCCGCATCTTCCAGCGCGGCGGTTCGTGACCCCCGGCCCGTGAGCAAATTTCAGCACCTAATCAAGGCCCCACGTTGGTCGCATGAAAAGAGTATACGTTGGTGGTTTGGAAGGGAACTGCTAGAATTTGCTGGGGTGCCTAAAGTCAGGCCATTCCGTCTGATCCAAGGCGGCAAATCGTTCTCTCACAACGGGTGGGTACTCTTGGAAAGCCTTAAAAATAGTATTTGTCGGACCCATTTTGGAGTGGATCAGTTGAACTGCCTTTCAAATGACGTGCAGCTCGTTCTGCTTTTTGCCGTCCGCCGTGCTCGTAGCTGGCACCGTTCCCGCCGAAGAACTTACCCCGAAAGGCTAGAATTTCGCGCAGCAGTCTCGCCCGTTCGGTCTCCGAGGCCGATCGTGGGGCCGACCGAGCAGAAACTTAATGGGCATGGGAAACGAGATCTTTACCGCTCTCTCCGCCACCCCTGCAGGCAGGGCCTGGCCCCGCTTGCCCCGTTGGCCGGGTGCTTCGCCCTTGAGCCCTTGAACACCGACTCCGAATCGATGTGTGGCCCTGGGAGCCCTCCGGGAGCCCTCTGCGAGCCCTTCGAGTCCGGGTCAAGGGCTTTCCAGGGTGGCCTGGCGCGCCCTGCAGGCTGCCGCTGGGAGCTGTCCGGAGTGGCTGGCTGCTGCTCTGTCTCCGGCGACCGGAAGAGAAGAATATTCATTCCACTGATTGAGTTTTGCAATCAAGTCGGGCACTACGCACTAACTATTACGCGAAGACAGTGCCAAACAGGCAGCGCGCCGCGCAGACACACCGAATAGTTGGGTCAAACTTTGCCGGGCCGCGGGCCGGTCGCTTGCGAAGCTCAGGAAGCTCTTGATGCGAAGCTTGCGAAGCTCGCAAAGCTTCGCCTCCATTCGGCTCGCCTCGGCTGCTGCCCCGCTCCGCATGATCTATGTTGGAATAGTTTCCGCACAATAAAGCCCCTGCAGACCCTCAAAGTGGCAATGGATTTCAGGAGCGTTTCCGCCCCGGGACAATATTGTCAACTTGGAGCAAAAAATTATTCACAACTTGTTGCCGGTGTTGGCCTCCTCGGAGCAGGACTGTGATGAGAAATTCGCAGTTCAAAATTCTAGTCCGAATTCAATCAACAATTGCAGCGCGCTTTCCGGCAGCACCCGTGCTGTCCTGACTTGGGACGGATCACCAACACTTTCGGTGCAAAGACACCAACTGGGGGACCTTTCCACAGCCGGCCGATAGATATGCGCATTTAGATAGAACACAGATAGATGGACAGATAGCGAAAAGAATGGAGAATAACGAAGCGCGTTCGGGCCGAATGTACACAGCGAGTGTACCGTCCCAGGAGAGAGAGAGACAGACAGAGAGAGAGAGAGAGAGAGAGAGAGAGAGAGAGAGAGAGAGAGAGAGAGAGAGAGGCGAATGAGTTATTGAATGGCAAGCCTGGCGGGGGGAGTGAGAGGGACGGATCTTGGTTCCCTTGATGAACTCGTTGAACCTGATGACAATGCGGCCGAATTTGATGCCCTGTCAGATACAATGCGGGTGATTCGGCGGATGTCTTTCACCTCGGCGACGACGACGACGTGCAGGCCGGGCAACGCCGTGCAGCAGATTGAGAGTCGTTTTCGTCGCTCTGTCTCTCTCGCACTCAAAGGGCGTCCCGCATAGGTGCGAGAGAAACAGAGCGACTCTCGGAATCGGTCTTCAGAGCGACAAATTGGAGGACAGCCCGCCGCCATTGCGAGCACCTCGCCGACGATCGAGCCTTCGCGCCGCCGCCGCGGGTGATGTCTGAATCCGAAAGGCGGACCAGACCGCCCCGTTCTGTCTTATAAATACATTTGATTACGTCGGGTCATCGGCTCCAGGAGTCTACATCGTTTGTCCGACCGACGTATGTCCGACCTGCCGAAATTTGTCCGACCTCCTTTTCCCTTAAATTTTTGTCCGACCGACGTTTGTCCGATCGACGTTTGTCCGTCGACGTTTGTCCGACCGACTCTCCAGCCGCGTTTGGCCAGGCAGGGCACGGCGAAACTCTCGCAGGGTCTCGGAGGGCCAGGCAGGCACGGCGAAACTCTCGCAGGGCCTCGCAGGGCCAGGCAGGGCACTGCGAAACTCTCGCAGGGTCTCGCAGGGCCAGGCAGGGCACGGCGAAACTCTCGCAGGGTCTCGCAGGGCCAGGCAGGACTCGGCGTAACTCTCGCAGGGTCTCGCAGGGCCAGGCAGGTCACGGCGAAACTCTCGCAGGGTCTCGCAGGGCCAGGCAGGGCACGGTGAAACTCTCGCAGGGCCAGGCAGGGCACGGCGAAACTCTCGCAGGGTCTCGCAGGGCCAGGCAGGGCACGCGCAAACTCTCGCAGGGCCTCGCAGGGCCAGGCAGGGCACGGCGAAACTCTCGCAGGGTCTCGCAGGCCAGGCAGGACACGGCGAAACTCTTCGCCATGGAGTGATCGGCAAACGTGGCCAAAAGCGGTCCCGGGCAAACGATGTACACCGGGCTCCAGTGCGGGCGCCAGGACGACGCCGGTGGACTCGGGGCCGATGCACCGCCCTCCTCACTTTCTGGTCTTCGGCTGATAACGACCGGCATCGGTCCCTCTCCCTCCCTCTCAAGGGACGTCCCTCGGGGCGAGGAGACAGAGGTCGGAGGTCAGAACCGCTCCCAGCAGGTTCATCCGATCGCGCAGTGTTCCGGGAAGCGGACACGGCCAGCCTCCAGCAGACTGATTCCGAGCACGCTTTTGGCGCTCTCTCGCACCGTTCGGGGCCCCATGGGGCGCAAAAGCGCACCGCATGATTTTTACCTGGCGACCCTCTGTCTCGCGCAGCCTCGCGGTGTCTCGCGGGCCAGCGCCGTGCACGCAGAAAGGGTTGCCCCGCGGAGGCGTTCCC